TACCACATGCTCTGCGAATGAGCTGTTGAGAACCTGACATAATGGCGTACTGAGTTCAATGGCAAACAACTTTACAACTTTTGCAGGGATTCCGTCAGGACCGCTTGATTTTCCGGACTGAACTTTAGCAAGCTCTTTAAAAACCTCCCAAGGTTGAACTTTGAGTGGTTGCTTGCAAGGTTGGTACGACGGAAGTTGTGCCACATTAAGAGGGGCGATGTCACTCGCGACTTTCGCGAATTTGGTGTTGATAGCATTTGCAATAGAATGTGACTGGGTCTGATCGATTCCAGGAACCAATATGACTTGGTCAGTTCGTGATGATGACGTCATCACCTTGATGTTCTGGTACCACGACGCCGGATCATCGCGTTTGAGGCGTAGTACACGGTCACGATAGAATTGCCTCTTTGCGAGATTGATGCTACGGATAATCTTGTTTCTACTCTGTTTACGCTTGACATTCTCACCTTGATTGAAAAACTTCTGGCGATCTGCTATCTCCTTTTTTATCACAGAAGTGATCCAAGGTTTATCTTTATGGTGCATTTTTACGGTTTTAGTTGGAAAATGTCGGTCGACTGATAACTTTAGGGTAGAGTAGAAGGCATCACACTTTTCCGATGTGGACTTTGCCTCGGTGACCTCTGACCAGTTGTGATCAGTAATCCACCTGCCGAAACTTCGGGTGTCCGAGTCGCGAATCGGGCGAACAACGCGCTTTGTACTTGTGTTCGAATTGCGCGGAATATGCTGTTTCGGTGACCACAGGACTGCATTGTGGTCACTCATTCCAACAGGGGACATTATCTGTGGGCTGTTGTAATACTTGGCCAAGCTGGTTAGAATCTTGTCTAATATGGCGTTTTCTCTCGTTGGCTTGTCGACAACCTGTTTGAGACTGCAGTTTCGACTGATCTGTGCTGTATCGAGTTTGTTAAAATCGCCGAGCACAATAAATCCTGCAAAGGGATGTTTGGATTTGAGCTGATCAATGGTGTCTATCACGTGATCTATGAGCAAGGCATCAGAGGTGCTGTTTGGTGGTGAGTATACCGCTGCGACATACAGTCCCGAGACCTGACGTGGCAATCTCTTTGGCCTTAGGTGCAACCATAATATCTCCATTGCATCTGGAACTATGACATGCCGTACCGGTGTGGGATTGAGATCATCTTTAGCATAAACAAGAACACCACCACCCCTGCGGCCATCGCGACACTTGGAGAACTGAGTATAGCCCTCAAACGAGTAGCAATCAACATTGTCATTTGTCAGCCAGGATTCTGTGACAGCACAAACATCAACATTCAATTCGCGCATGATAATTTCTAGCTCATCCTGCTTCTTGTTAATCGATCTAAGATTCGCCAGGTAAAATACCGGAAAATTGTACGATTGACTAGGTATATAGTTACCATTGGTGGTAGCACTCCGAGGAATTTGAACAAGGTTGTTATGATTGACAGTTTCACATGGGGTTGGTCGATTGAATCGTTGCGATATTTGGACACTGATTTGGCGGTTTTTCCGAGTACCTGCACGGCATCCTCTGTATCTTAGGATACCAGCGTCCTTAGCAACGGAGAGAACGCTGGAGTGTGGTGTCGCTCGAGTGTTACGTAACCTGTACAGTTGGTTGAGCGAGTACTTGATTCTTGGTAGCGAACTCATTGTGTTCGTTCTATTCACGTTTCGGTCAAGCATGTATACTCGATCTTTTGTGAAGTGACCTTGTAACTCGGTCAATGTCACAGGTGAAAGCGGTGCTACAAAATGGTGGTAAGGGGTCAGAGTTTGTGTGCGGTATCTGACTGCAGGTGTATACAGATGTAGTGCGTGTAGGCATAGAAGCCCAAATAGCGCACTGTTTAGAAAAACAATAAACTGACGGACATCCATGACTCAATTGTTCAAATAGTTCACACAATCATGATTACTGAAACCAAAGGCACTCACATTACACAGTCATATAAAATCAAAACTCACGAAATCATGCAAATAACGGAGAAAATCAGAGCACAACTATGTCTGTTTGGCGGCCAAAAAGCGCCCTCTATCGATATTTTATCATTAAAACATACTTCTTGATATCAAGAATTAAATTCTTGATATCACGAAATCGAATTCTTGATATCAAGAATTACCATTGCTTTACAAGATAGAATTATTTCTTGATATCAAGAATTGATTTCTTTATATAAATTAATAATAAAACGGCTTGCCATAAAATCGCGACAGGTCGCCACAACTCGAGATTTCAACTTGGCTTAGTAGGAGCCCTGCTTTAAGGCTCTTAGCATTACCGGAGCTCTTACCTCACACACTGATTATACTTGCATGCATTTTGATATACGTAATATATAGGGAAAGCGATTTATCCAAAGATATATTTGGAAATAACGTAGGAAAAAAAAATTGAAAATAAATATTCTTTTCGCGTTATTCCAAAATGAAAGAGCTCTAGCAAATGAGGTTTCCAATGGTAATAATTTGCTGCTATTACTTCTTTATATTGATTTTGAAATAATAATTACTATTATAATGATTATCATTATTATAGTCACTGTTATAGGATTTCCCGGCCAAATTCGCGTGTTTGTCATTCGAATTCATTTACTTTGCATTTAAGTTAGCGCAGATCGGCTTTGCCATGCCAGTTATCATTCGATTTTCCAGTTTTTGTATTTAATTTAGGATTTTGGTCGAAGGGTTTCATAGATCTGTCATTCAATTTAGAAACTGCCCAACTAGCATTCAAATTAATATTCACTTGTCGAAGCGTAATTTTTATCATTCAAATTAACACCTGTCATTCGTATTCGTAATATTTTTATTCAAGTTAGGAATGTTAGGGGGAAGAATTGCAACAAACTTTTACAGTTTTTAAATGATGCAGTTAAAATGCATGATTTGCCATTGGGGTCTAAGCTGTTATTCCATTTATTTATTTTCAGGACAATGCATATGGGTGTAGTCAGACATGAAGTAAAGAAGGGGCGAAATCAAGGGATATGGCATTTCTGCACGGACATGTTGAAGAAAGGTGGGGGTACCCTCAATCGCCCCTTTTTACTACAGACTTGGAATTTTACAAAAATAATTCACATCGTCTCTTATACCCAGCACACCCATCTGTTTTTCTTAAAGAGATATATAGTTTACTTGCCCGCCAGCAGATCGATGGCTAAAGACATGGCTAAATAATGAATCATGTTCAAACTGTTGACTCTAGTCCCTACCCCAGTCACAATATTGTACCCTTCTTCCATAATGAAATTATGATAAATTTATGATGAAACATAAGACAAACAACTTCCTTGCATGAACATTTACAAATATACTGAGACCATCAGGTCCGTAGATGCAAGTCGTTTTTTTCTTCTTAACAATCAAACTTAAATACCGATGAATATCAGATAAATCTAATAAGTATAAGTGTATAAATGCAAGAAAATAAAATATGATGAAATACACATGAAAAAACAATCTTGAAAGAAAAGGAATGAGCTATAAAAAGCGTGTAATAAACGAGAAATGTATATTGACCATCAATTGAAGTGCACAAAGTGTTAATTTGAATGCTACAAATGAATTAGAATGCTAAAAGTACACCGTCGCGTTGCCAGAAAATCGTGTTGCGCCAAATCGAATGACCAAATAGCGAAAGAAGCACATTGTTCATTAATTTGAATGAAACATACGTAGATACTAACGAAAATTTCATAGATTTAAAAACTAGAAATGGAAATACCTGACTGAGATATACCTGACTGCACTAAAACCGTCGAATTTGAACGCAAGACAAATTAATTTGTATGACAAACTCGCGAATTTGGCCGGGAAATCCTATATTATTATTACTAGTAGCATCGTTGTTGTTATCAACATTATTAATCGTATTCGAACTGCACTAGACTTATGCTATGTTATATGGGTACCCGATAGGATGCGACCGTCATTGTTGGTCAAACAATTTTTGAGCGTCAAGTAAAGCCTGGCTAGAAAGCTCCCAAGGAAGTGGAGATCGTGTACACAGTGTGTGCAGGCGAGTATTGAATCCGATGACCTAGGTAATAGTATATCTTCAAAGAGCGTAGAGACATTGTAGATGTATTGAGCGCTATATAAAAGCGGATATTATTATTATCATCATTATACCATTAAGATATATACTCTTGCCGTTTTAATGAGAAGCTCCATTAATGTCTCTATTTTTCCATTTATCAGGATGTCACGAGGTTATCCCCCTTAAATATCCAGGTGAGAAATGTCAAAAGTCCTTACATCTATATATATATATATATATATAAATTATTCAAAATATAACTTTCATTTCTTCCTAAAGTCCTATAAGACTCTTAATATTACTACTTGGTTGTTGTATAAGCAAGGACACATTACGAGGAAAGATCACCCTTTTCATTCTAGGGTGTGATGCATAAACTGTTTAGGATGTGCTTAACAAATAACAGCTAAATGTCAAACGGAAAGCTACACGTTCCTGAAAATCTTAGCATATTTAAAAAGCTAAAATATAACATTCTGGATGAATAATGGTGAAAGTAGTAAAGGAATACTTAACTGTATGTCCAGGGGGTGTTTCACAAAGATCCTAAGTTGAACTTATCTCAAAGTTGGACTTCACAATTATGGAATGCCGTTAGCATCTATGAAAATATTTTGTACATGTTATTTTTAAAGGCATAAAATGTTGATTCGAATCATTAATGTTTTTGAATTAATAAAAAATCTAAAATACTTGATGTTTCGCTTTTGAATATAATTTTGTAAAGGCTACAAATGGCTCTCCGTACATTTTAAAAGTCCAATTTAGAGTTAAGTTCGACAAAGGAATTTTGTAAAACACCCGTGGTATATTTGTAACGCAACGTGCACTGGCTTTGACTCTTGATCCCCCAGACCACTGTATGCTGCCTCTGGGAATGGAAGGTAAATGGATTGAGGACAATCAGATTAGGGTTAGCAGCGAGATAGACATGGATCATGGTGCCAGCCACGCCAGACTACACGGTCCTTCAGCTTGGGTTCCTAATACTAACGATCCCCAACCAGCAATAACGGTAAGTTTATTTTAATACGTTTTGTTATGCATAACTCATGGGTTGTAGTGCCCTAGTGGGCTAATTGCTGTTCTTCCAATGGGTCCAAAGTAATAAGTAGTAAGTAATATTTAATAACAATCCAATTCAGACCACTCTATGATGTCTATCCGGGCGCTTTGCCAAAGGAAAGCTTAAAATTGTGCCTTCAATAACACTAAACGTTATTAATTATAGCCATTTATAATATAATATATGTCTTAGAAGATTTATGGAATCAACTGTCGGAATTCACAACCTATCCGGACACAAAACGTCGTGGTATGCGACAACCAATATTTTGAAAAGTTACATTAAGTTACCTTATCAATACAATTCGTTCATTATGCACTGGATAACTGGACAGAGAAAATAAAAATCGAACTTTCCAAAACATTGACTTTAGATTCGATCTATCTTTGAATTTATTTATATATTTCAGTCTTCTTTATACAGGATTGCCTTTCAATATCGAGTATTGATCTTCCAAGGGCCATATCTGAATAATAACGCATACAAATGTTACATACAAAACATGAGTTTAATAACAGAATCCCCTTTTTTAAGAAGGCAAATGTATATATACAAGTAAGAACAAAAACAGTAACATCATAGTTCCTTAAACCATGTTCACAAAATATGACAATGCAATTTAATACCTATAACAGCAATAAAATCACGTCGGTGGTCGTATTTCTTATTTCAGATAACTTTTTTCGGTAGAACTATCGTAACTGGAGTGGTCTTACAAACAGGAAGCCACAAAGATCACAGTATCAACCTGGTTCACAACTTCACGATCGACTTCGATCCACGTCCTGAATACGCTGCCGACCCTCAAATACCGTACATGGGTGTGGACAGTTCCCCTAAGGCAAGTAACTAAGTACACGTAGAAAAAACAGCGTCCTGAAGACTTTAGCAGTTCTCAAATTGCCATTCCTTTAGAAAATAAGTAACCCTCAAATAGAATGCATTGGTTAGGAGAATTTACCAACAAAGTTGGTACAGAAGCACTTTCTTTTCATTAATTCAGAATTCACTCCCTCAATATTTTAGCAATCCTCAAATAACTGTCCCGCAAAATAATTTTATTTTGAGTGTCCGTAATATAATGAAATTTCCGTTATAATAATTTGCCACAATTACTGCAATACACATGTAGGTTGTTATATAAATACCAATATAAATATAAGCAGCATAGATTTACATGACGAAAATTATCTATTCGTAAGTAACTTAAATGCCTTACGACATAACACCCTCAATACTCTTCTAATCTTCAAATCTTGTAGATGGACCTTAGTCTTTAAAATGTTCCAATAATATGGATTAGGAACATACCTCCCTCCCCCCCCCCCCACAAAGTACCTAAACACTTCCAATACCCAAGAAGTCAGTATAATATACCAAGTTCAGTTAGGTTAAGTGATAAACTTGTTATAACGATTCTGTTTACTAATTATTTTCTTAGGTTTTACCAGGGATCTTTTACAGTGAGTGCCCTCAACCCGTTTTCCTTGATCCACCTGTTTGGACGTTTGGCCTTCGAATCAAACCTGTTTCGGATTCAAACGACCCATTTAGTCTCAGGCTCGAAATCCTAGGATGTCAAGATAATGGTTAGTTTATGATGGTATCATGCGAGTTATATCATAATGATAGAGGCTTAGGGTTAGGGGACCTGGGATCTAGCATTCATTTCTACATTTGCCTTGCTTAAATTCATTTATGATTGAGCATTTCCCTTGAACCACTACCTGGTTATTTTAACTGGCATATTTTGTTAAAATATTATTTTTAAGAATTGACACTTTGGATACGGTATATAAAAAACAAATATTGACTGCTTATTTTTTTTGTTCGTAATAAAATAAAAATAAAACCATTATTCCCGTTGATATCGGGACTGCACCGGGCCCCTTGAATTCGTCTCGGGGCACAGTTCAGTTTCGAGCTCACCTTCGGAAAAAAGTAAAGAGAAGATTAATTTTCTCGTATTGCTCTTCTGTATTTCATGTAGAGAGGGAGTTTAATTTATGTGTAGGGATTTTTCTGGGGTGGGGTCCGAGATACTTGTAAATGAGTAATTGTCCTAAGGAACGTCGTTTAATAGGGTAAGCTGTCCGTGAAATTTGTCCATGGTTAATTGCTTCAGAGGGTAGTTTACCAGAGGTAAACCAGAGGTAAATGTCTGTGACAATAGTTCCAATGGTTGTCCATATAAAATATACTAATAGCACAGAGGAATTGGGGTATACTATGAACATGATGAGATGTCGCAATCTTCGATATGTCTCACAAGAAATTGTCTAAATGTTGCTGGAAATCTATTGCATTGTAATTTGGGTATGGGATTACACATTCATGTGGCGTGGAAGGTTGTTTATACTTTTCAGCTTTTTCATTGATATACATCGAAAAATGCTCCCCTTTTAACGGCTATTCCTTCTGTGGGATTCTTCCCAACTGACACAAAAGGGTTGAGGAAGTATACAAATTACTTTTCAGCCTTACAGGAAACTTATCGTTCTAAAACTGTTAACCAATTCAAAGCTTGTCTTAAGACACATTTATTCAAAGTTGTTTTTGATGATTAACTTACTCTATATATTTCATATTTATTGTAATTTGTAGGTTTATCTGCACTTTTTGGTTTTGTTTAATATGTATTATGTTTATCATTGAATCTTGGTGGTTAAAGCACATAGAGACCTCGGTGGTAAGCGCTTTATAAGCACCGTTTTTATTTATTTATTTATGTAATAGTATGGCACAATGTTTGCTGTGTATTTTTTCGTAGATTGTGATAGCGAATTTGGAACCATGCGAGGGAGGGTGGAAGGTGTATCGGTCAAGGAATCAGATGATGGGGGAACATCTGGGTCAGTATTAGCTGCCCTAAGAGCATTTGATTATTACACCACCGGTTGGATTCCAAAGACACCGAATGGCTGGGTTCAGGTAAGTTATAATTGTTTATTTTGAGCATCGTTAATTAGAGTATAAAATTGATAGTCAGTTTTGTTTGAGGATTGCCGAAGGGTTTTGGGGGGATCGTACGTATCATCTCCTGATTTCGTCAAGATTGTTATTTATTCATTTATTTATTATACGAGTTCGTGTTGGTGCTCTATTTGGGTTTTACAGACGCGTATCTTTTTCTGTTTTGTTTGTTTTAGCTGACTGCTAGGACTGAGGTATACAGCTTACGAGACGTTTTTGACAAACTTAAAATCGATTGTTTTGGAATTAATAGAGTAATACCATATATGATAAATGTCCATAACATTTCTATTGTCATCCTATGGATATTCCCGACAGATATCAGTCAGTGAGCCTTTTCGAATGTCAGCCCTTATTCTTCGAAAGTGCATTGACCCCGGTACCCGGATAGACTCATTCCGACTCTGGTTTGGATCAAATAAGATGATAGAGGCTGGCGAACTTAACTTAACCCAGATTGTAAGTAATGAATACGTTTTTGAGAAAACGTTTTGGTCGCACCTCAACGATCACAATCGCAAAGATGTTTAAGTTATCAACTCGAGGGCTATTTAAATACTCAAGTTCATTACCTATAGTAATGATGTACAAATTACGTAAGATGTCATTGTGGTGCTCACATATTTTTTAAAAAAAAGCTGATGGGCAGGACTACTGAAAAAGACCTCGGCTTGTTATTTTTCTTCTAAAGTCTTTCGCAATCATGTTGTGTAATGTAAACTAACGATAATGATAAAAGTGGTGACAATTTCAGATTTTGATGACCAAAATGGTTGCTTCTGTAAAACAGTATGGGTACTACCTGTATTAACTAACGTCACATCTATCACACAAATAACAAATAAACTACGTTTTTTTACTTTGTATTCATAACACGTTTTTTGAATAACACTTTATAGCATCGTTTAAACCGTCAACTTTGTTTTCAAGTCTATTACAAATGATCCGAATCGTTTTTGATTGTTTGTTGTTTTTTTGTCTTCAGTTTTACGCCGAATACCACAACACAAGCATCTCACGGGTTAATTTTACAGTACCCTTTGAGCTGGTAGATTTAGCCCGCTTCTACCCCATGAGTACATCTACACACATCTGCCTCAGAATGGAGCTTATTGGATGTAACTTTTCAAGTAAGTATGATCCCTTGAACCTATCATAATCTCTACACATTAGACTGGGAGTAGTTTTTTTTGTGAAAGGAGGGTGGCAAAATTTTTCCTAAGATATTAATTGATTGGGGTAAGGGTCGTGTTGATTTACTTTTCCAGTATTATAATTCGTCAAACGTTCACGAACCCCCCCCCCCCCTCCTTCCCCTTACCCCCATATGACTGAATTTTAAAATATGGTACGGGCCCGTTTCGTTGAATTTGTGTTGTAAAACCTTTCAAGTAAGTATGATTTGTCAAACGTTCATGACCTTTAGTTATTTCAAGGGTGCATAAAGTATTTTATAAAAGGGAAGTGGCAAAATCTAGAAAGGGAAAACTTTAAAAGAGACACTTTAAGGGGTCAACATTTTCCGATGATGTACATAAGATGTTCGTGATTTGTTTTTAGAACAAAAAACGGGTTATTTGCCGCCGCCCCCCCCCCCCCCCAGGAAAGAAAGAGAAATCCGCTATTGGATATCTTTCATACAACATATAATAATGGTATAGCAGACAAGAGTCTTCACCCATTCCTAAAACTAGTTAACTTTTCTCTTGTACGTGGTAACATTAGTGACAAGGCCTTTGGAGATTGATAGGATATTGGAATTTGCTTCAGGGAACACAACAAATCGTTATTTTTCTTTTCGAATGATTAAAATGATTAAAAGATCATCCTGAAAACGGAAATTCAATTTCTTCGTCTAGGATGCAGCGAACGACTGGGTATGGAATCTAGGACTATAGACAGAAAACAACTAACGTGCAAAGGGTGCAATGAAACAACCATCGATCAAGCTCGGCTTCATCACTTCGACTCTACAGGTAGCCGCTTAAACCTAACCCCGCCCCGTTGTCTCTCATTGCGTATTGAACAGGGAGTGTATCCAACGCTCCAAGAATGAAATGTGGACTCGTTGAATTAGGGCCTTAGTTGAATACTTTTAGATGTTAGCTTTAATAAGTAGCATAAATTGCTATTTCTATTTCCCCCTGCAAGCATACTGCGACACTCAAGGATATTGGGCAAAACAAGGCCCTGGATTATCAACCGTGTAATCAATAACAGGTTACCATTCATGTTATAATTTACTGACTACATTGCATTTTATTTGGTAAGAGTAGTTTCGCTGTAAATCTTTATCACTAAATTGTTATTGCTAACAAATTTTATAAACATGATAAAACGGGGCCCCAAATTTGTTTCGCACCTATGTTACTCAATACCTACATACATCACACCACTAGCTATGTTCATTAGGTTATTCCAAAATTCTGAATGTCTGCTTCATAGGTTTCACTGGATGTGTACTCCCGACGACTAAGGACCATGATATCTGGTTCCAGTTTGCTTTTAAAGACGTCCAAGTTTTCCATGCTATCATGAGTCAAGGAGGTTTTGTTAACGGCGGGCCGACTTTCATTACCAGGTTCAAAGTGAAGTATAAACTGCTACACTCAGGGAAGTCACTGTGGAGAGAGTACAAAAATGGCATTGGAGAAACAATGGTAAAATCACATATATTAAAATAATAGGCAGTATGTATTGTACCGACATCGCTACCACTGCCGTATTTTCAATAGCGCTATCATTCGCTGAAGGTAAACATAGAGCGATTTCCGGTTCATGTATGCAAGCATCATCACGCATGCATTGTGGGACATCGCTGTTGACACATCGTGGCATTGCAAGCAGTAGAAGCCGGTATACGTAAATCTGAAATAGTGCCAGTAGAGTACCCTGCCTTTAAGTTGCGTTCACATATATCGGGCAAAATTAGCGTTGTGCGCTTTACATTTCTGTCACTTCTGAGACACAAATAAAGGCTCTTTCTTCTTTCTTCGCGGTTAACCGTCACTTAAATCTTGCGCATATTTCACTTTAATAGCTAAAGATACAGAAATATAAAACTTTACGTCATCTTATACAACCGCGGTTTACTGCTCAATACTGAACAAGGCTGAGGTGGCGTGTTTGACTATTATTTTCATCCCCATTTGCAATTCACATACAAGTTGTTTTTTTGTAATGCAGCGTCCAACCACGTCATATGCAAATGAGCATTTGTATTTAGTCATTATCATGTTTATGATCACATAAAGAAGTTTTTTCTCGCTTGTTTGACACGCCTTTCATTTTGTTAAACCATTTAGTGAGAAGAGTTTTTGTTTTCATTTTCATTTCATTTCATTTCTTTATTGTGTCCATTTAGGATAATTGTTTATATGCACATGAACAATCTTGCATCAAGATATGAACATAGGAACAACATTTAATTGACATTCATAGGGCCCTGTTTTAGTATACATTTGATATAATATACATGGTCATGATGAATATACAAAAATATACATTTAAATACTCTTTTTTCTTCTTCTTCTTCTTCTTCTTCTTCTTCTTCTTCTTCTTCTTCTCTCTTTCTTCTTACATACCCTCCATTTTGTTTAAATTCTTATATGCTCTAATCTGAAGTAGGTATTTCGTGTTAAAAATTATTTCTTGATATGGTATAACAGTAGGGGTGTGAATATTATTATTCATTATTTCATCAATTTTGTCTTCTTTCTATATTCATTTCTTTCTTGATATTTCATTTTTTGAAAAAAAATTAGTGAGTAAAGTTTTTGTTTGAATATTATTACTCATTATTTCATCAATTTTGTCTTCTTTTATTTCTTGATCTTTTATTTATCAAATAATCATACGCGGAAAAGAGAACAATAGTCAGTTTTCAATGAGGTTATACCATATACGATATTATTTGTATTACTTTTCCAGTACTTCGAGAATGTGCCTGACCCCTACACTGTATCGACACATCGTTTCGAGAGGGCGTTCTTCAGTCGGACTGTGCGAGTCTGTCCTGATTCCGATATGACAAAGCCGAGAGTTATACGACTTGAACTTGTGGGCTGCCGATTGGATGGTGAGTTAATAATGGTATTTATAGTGATAATGATAATCATAATAATAATATTAAAAAGAACAATAATAATGATAGTAATAATATAAAAAAAACAATCATCGTAATAATATCAATAATAATAACAATAGTAAATATAATAATTATAATTAAAAATCGATTATCGTAATAATTTCAATAATAATAACACTAATATCTATAAAGATTATAAAAACCAAAATAATAAAATAAATTCATCATAAACAAAAAAGATAAACGATGTTTGTTATTGTACATCAACATTAGGGTAATGCGTGCTAAACCGACCGTGATAAAACGGTATGTTTGCCTTTTTTCTGTCTTCCAGTTGTACCACTTAATTTATATTTAATTATTTATATAGTTCATGACAAGCCTTTGATAGGCCTTTGGCCTTCGTTTGTCCCCCCATATTTTGATACTTCTGTTCTGTTGTGTTATTTCTTGGAATCGACTTTGTATTGTAAATGTTTGTTGTTGTGATTTCTATCAAAATGTGAAAATAAAATGATTTAAATCGAATAATTAAGTTAGTGGCTCATTACATAATCCGAACTTTATTTCGATACGATATACATGTTAAATACTGAGAATGCCCTTCAGTTCACTTTTTGAACATCGTGTGAAAATAAGATATTTTCTCCATGATTTCTGCAGGCGTGATTCCAGAGTATTTTTTTCACTTGTTTGAGGGGGCATTAGTCCCCTCTAGAATCTAACAAATCTAGCTACATCAATCATGTTAATTGCATTATTTTCTTATAAGACGCCGATAAAGTATGTGGCGACAGAGAGTTTCTACACCAAGGTTTCTGTTATGGTGTAGTGGACGAAGAAAGCCCTTCAGCATGCGACCAGATCTTTATTCCTGGCAGTCACCCTGCCGACATCAAAACCTCATCAATTCAGGTGAGATGAGAGTCATGTGATGTGTGGGTGCACTCAAGAGTGTAAGTGTGCGTGTGTATGTGTGTGTGTGTGTGAGAGAGAGAGAGAGAGAGAGAGAGAGCCATCCCCGTATTTTACAACAGATCCCTCGATAAATAATATGGAGACATGGTATTTCTGCATGAAGGTTTCTGTGAACAAATCCCGGGAACAAATCTTTCCCGCTGGAAATCCTCCCGCTAACATCAAGTCTTATTCAATTTCTGAGCTACATATTTTTCTATTTATTGATTTCTAAGCATACTTTGTTCATGTTATATTGTAAAACAGCATCTGAGGAACTTACACTTCAACAAGCTCTGCTTCAAGTTAGTTCCTCTTTTCTCGTGCTTTTTCTATAATTTTTGTCGTTTCATTGCACACTTTTTGTGAAATGATTATTCTTGTATTATGTTTTGCATGAGAAATAAAATCATTTGAATCATATGAGGGGCGTCACTAAGAAAGTGTGTGTGTGTGTGTGTGTGTGTGTGCGTGTTTTTTTTTTTCATGAGTGTGTTGATGAGACGCCACTTCCATATAAAGGTGGCTCCTAATTTAAGTCTTAAACAATTTGTATCACCATTCAAGTTGATATCCCACGAGGTACCTGAAAATACCAAACCATTTCTTCTTTTTTAGCCTCCTTACTAGGGATTCGTAAAGTAAAATTGGTTACTTAAGATATAGCATTATTAATAATATTGCAATCGTGATTATTTCATATCTTGTTCTTTCTTTAGGGTTTCATAACAAGTAAGAGTGAAACACTGCTTCATGACAAAGATGACCGTTTTGTGATTGGACTTGATGTGAGTATTCAACCATAGTATCTCATATTTGTCCGTTCAGAGGCAGAAGGAAATTAACTTAATATATCATCTACCACATAGTTAACGGGTTATCGCCGTTCGATCTACACCCAGTCCGTCTACTTTTCACACGTTCTAATAATTATTTCGTCTACAGATCATTTGGTCTAATTATTAAGTCTACTACCCATTTTGGTCTATTGCTTATTTAGTCTTATTTCCTATCGGCCTAATTACCAGCTTGTGCAATACACATATAGTTTATTGTCCTATGGTCTATTAATAATTTAATCATAAATGATGATAATCCTCACATGACGTTAAGACCGTGTGGAAGTTAGACGAAATGAGTACAGGACTAATTGGGACTTAGACTATGAGCAATAGACCAAATGGGTACAGGACTAATTGGAGATGGAGAAAAATTGGGATATGCACCGTGACATAGGAATAATAATTTGAATGGCACTTAGAAGTTTAAGAGGTAACCTGCTTATCATGATTGATAGCAATTCAAGGCATATCTGCAATCGCATACTTTGTTTTCACCCGTTTTGATAACAGAGGGAAATAGGAGGAGAGTTCAAATGGACCGACGGAACACCTTTAGACTATTCACAATTGGCTCTAAATGGTTCCGTTGATGAACTACCAAATGGCCGAGTATGTGTGTACATGGATGCCTATGCCTGCTTCGATTGGAAGACATATGACTGCATGCCACAAAAGAGAGCCATCATTTGTCAATACGGTATGTATTGTGTCTGCTACATTGGCTCCGAGTCCAATCACGCATAATTTCCAAACTACCGTTACTGACTTACCACTGTCTTAATTCAATGATCCCGGAATATCTTAAAGCCCCACTATATTACTTGTAGCTCTTTGGAAGCGCGTAGAGATGTTATTTCATAACGTATTATGCGCTATTCAAGAACTGAACTATTAATTTTATTATTATTATAGAAAACAATGCCAAATCGGTGACCATTGGTCCCCCATGATCCTCTTTTCCTTATGTTAATTGAGAGCTGAATTGGTGAGATAGCCGCGTGTCAGTGAACACCCTGGGTGGTCTAATCCCTCCTTGTCAAACTAGTACAGACGGCCTTTAAAGCCTTACTTTACTAGAAGCACTACCTCGAAATTCCCTGTAGCGCCATCTCAGGTCAGCTATAGCAGTATGGTCCCATAACTCGCTGCTTATCTAGCTGTGCTGTTGGTTCTCGCATCCAGTCCTCTGTCTGCGCAGTGGAAATTAGGTTAGTTACGCACTATTGGCGGGTTGACTATGGGATGAATTCGGGCGAGAAGCATAACGCTAGGGCAGATCGTGTATCAATTTGGTATCGCTTTTATAGTCCGTAATTTTTGTATTAGTCTAAACGCTGCACTCTTGGGCCCTCCAGAGCCTAAAAGTGTGTTGCTGTATTTGCTATACCTTTTTTCTTCAGTTTTAAAGTTTTCTGGGAGGGACGTGTCCCCCGTCCCCCCTCCCCCCCCCCCCCCCCCCCCCCCCCCCCCCCAAAGATCGCCGCCCATGATATGCGGCATAAAAGTACTGTATTATTATTATTATCATTATTGTCAAAATTCGTTGTCAGCATTATTTTTAATATTATTACTATTATTATTGTTATTAATATTCGTATCATTATCTTCCCATTTAACCTAGACATAAATGAATGCCTAGGTACTCATCATGGATGTACCTACGAGTGTAGCAACACACCAGGAAGCTACTATTGTGTTTGTCAGTCTAGATTTAGGAGAGACACTGGAAATAACTGCATAGGTAATTGTCATATAAATCTTTAAAACTGTTCATGTTATTGTTGTTCCTGTTTGTGTGGTTTTTTTTTTTTTGTAAGCGCGTGTTTTCATACACGTCTGTAATGAAATCGATGACCTTAATATACATTAGTAAATACAGGTTTGAAGGCACTTACATTTGTAGGAATATTACATCCCGAAGATTTGAAAAATGACTGCATAACCATAACGGAGGGCCTAATTTTCCGTGCAAATGTAGCACCTAAAAAAATGTACCCTTATGAGAACGGCATCAAATTTTGAATAATTTACAGGGTTTTCAAACTGAGGACGTCCTCGTTGTTTACACTGGTCGTGAAGGTGAAGGTAGAGTTCTTTATACGAGTGTCCCTGGTTTGTGACAGTACATGTGTACGTGTATCGTCGTTTGCGTGTGTTATGTGGGCGTGCGTGCCGGTGTGAAGCAGAAATACAGTATACTTATAATTCAAATAAAACATAGGATTCTGTTAGTTGGGAATACTGTATTCAAACTAATTGCAAAGAAACATACTTCTTTCCTTGGTTATACAAATATGATTTACCTATCTCATGAATTGTATGTTCTCTTCAAATTTATATTTTCTGTAAGCGCTTTGGTACTCTTTGTTTTAGCGCTCCAAAATAATACATTATATTTAACGTAAAGAATGTTATCAAAATTAAAGTTATTTACATTCAAAATGAAACACCTTTGAAATATTTTGTCATCTCCGTCATCATAATATATATGCCGTATGACAAGCGGAACCGCTGTTTATTTGAGAGGAAACTCTTGCCTATGCACTAGTCAGGAAGTAATAGTGAATTGTTAACATGGACTTAAGCCAGCCAACTATGTAATGGTTAGAACAAACGTTATTAATGTAAATTATTGTTATTACAAATATTATTAAAATATTTCGTTTTCACTACCTATCAAACAGATATCTGCAGTACGACAAGCGCAACCGCTATTCATTTGAGAGAAAACTATGGCCTATGCGTCAGTCCGTGGGTTGGTGAGAGGTTAACATGGGATAAAGCGAACCAAGAATGCCTTAATCAGAATAAACATCTTCTAGGAAACCAACTCACTGTCGGGTATAGTGCATTGGTAAGTAAGGGGCGATGGATCCAATAATATCTTAAGGGGCACAGTAAGCACAAAACAAGAGGGTTTAACATCTTACGATGGCAGATCCAGGGATTTTGAAAACGGGGATGGCACAATTTCAATAAATCTCTGGCAAGCTTAAAGTAGGGTTATCCGATCTTACAGGTGCAAACTTAGTCAAACAAAATTTCAAAAAAAAAACATAACAAACACAAAACAATTTTTAAACGAAATTGGGGGAAACATACAACTTTTTCGGGTAAGACAAGAACACACAGGAGAGATGGCAATAACTGCAGGATTGAGTCCCTACAACAACGATTTCATTGTCTTTATTAATTTCCATTCAAAGGCAGATCATGAAGCCGACCAAATTACCCAAGGTTTTAGTTGAAATTCTATTTAAATATGGATCTGTCTCTAAGAACCAAGTGGAAGAGCAATTTAAACAAATATCTTCAGATTATTGCTTAAAACTTGTTCAACATTTTAAAACGGTTCCCATGAAGAATTAGTTTAAGGATGTTTTCAGGTTAATTTCAACGCAAATTGAATTAAGAGCATCATATACATGTATTTAATCATATCACAAAATATTTAGAATAGAATTTCATGTGTGTCATCTGCATTTTTTCCTCATAGATTGCTCACTTACAATCAGCTAATTTATCAAGCTGGCCACTCATCTGGCTCAGGAACGAATCTCGAGGCCCTAGTCCACAATGCCACGTTGCCAATTTGACGACTGTTAATCATATCCAAGTCATCCAAGAACCATGTGACAAAAAGTTTTCGTTCGTCTGTGTCACAGGTATTTCAAATTCTATTGCTCTTTTTCTCAAATATTACAAATGGAGAAAAAAATTGAGAAAATAGTCACACAATATTGTCATAAAGGTCACAACATAACAAAAATCAACCAAAAATACTGTGGTAAATATTATCTACACTTAATATATTTCTTTTTCCTATTTTCTCTCAAATTTCAGAATATGAGCTATTTAATCTGGATGATGTGTGGGAGGCGAATGGCCTTGAAGCTGTAGATACGTTGATACAAGAGATCAACTCGCCCTATGGATACATTGAGTTCTTTGGTTACGCGCCGTGGTACGGCACCGACAAAGCAGCACCAACACGGATTCGCATCCAGTCTGATAGAGTCAACACAAGCATCAGGCATGAATTTTTTGTTTAAAGTGGAAGTCCACCCTGAAATTAAGTTAGTTTTAATAGGAGTAGAAAAATGAGAGAAACAAGTCAGTGAAAGTTTGAGCAAATTCCGATTAAAAATAAGGAAGTTAGGATTTTTGAAGTTGTGATCAATCAAACACAAATTGGCAACTCTATGACGTATCATGCGAGCTCAACTTCCATTTGCTCAGTACTAAAATCTAAAATTTTCATTTTCCCTCAAGAAAAATTTCAACCATACATGCCCCCTAAATATAATAATTCAAATATGTTTCTATACTCCCCCTGCAAGGAACAAATATATATTCCGTCATCAATAACGAAGAAAACATGATTTTATGGAATATTATGCACAAAGCTAATGAAGGAGAGCTCGTATAATAAGTCACAGAGTTGCCAATTTGTATTTGATTGATCACAACTTCAATAATTCATAACTTTCTTATTTTCATTCAGAATTTGCTCAAACTTTCACTCACCTTATTTTCTTATTATTCTGCCTCTATCGAAACAAACTTATTTTCCCTTTAATTCATGAATTACCATGATTAGTTGTGTTAATTTTGTTTAAAGCGCGTAATCCATAGATGCAATTTTGTATTCATAAATTCTTTTTAAATGAACTATTACTGTTGCGTCGTGATCTGATTAAAAGTAACGTAGCAAGAATGATATTGATTGAATTTTTGTCGGGTAGAATGAACGCGGCATAAAATTTAAAAACAATAATAGCATCTTTAAAGATTTATAAAAACATTTGCTGTGTACACAGACATGTAGATTTAGTTACGTCCTGATGAATACATACATGTATATAAAGCAAGAAGTGTTCGATGTCGATGGCACAGTGTTTGAGCAAGAGACTTCTAACCGGGAGATCCCGGGTTCCAAACTATGTCGATGCGCTAGTGCCCGTTGGTATGGCACTGATCCTAATTACCAAGTCTATCGGTGAGGACTTAGAGCCATCGGTCTCCTGACTGTTTATTTACAAGCAAGTACATGCTTTCTTAGCAGTCGGGTCAAACAATCATCATCATTGAAATGTGTTTTTCTCAAAGCTTGTGTCATCAGATTACTTTTTTTTTAATTTTCTGGATTATTTATAATATATTTATAATTCTCTCATTAATGGGCGTTGCCCTGTTCTAGTATCTTCGTTAAAACAAGATTGATATATGATATCATCAAATTCGAATGTTACAATTTAGATTGAAACTGCTTTTATTCGTACATGTCCTCATTTGAATCCAATTGTAATAAAAACAATTTATTTGGTTTTATGCACAGGCTTTCCTTCCACCATATAATTCTGCGACAGAAGAATAATGTGTGCGTAGACAAACTCGAGATTTATCTGGGTAGTGACAGAGGAAACTGGAGTGAGATATGTGGAAAGGTGGAAAAGGAATTGGTTCTAATACCCACCGGAAACGTGGTGGAAATGTTCATCCGTCTTGGAAAACTAAGCAGTGATATGGAAAAGGAGATCGGCTTTAGTCTTACCTATGAGGCAATCGGTGAGTCACAACAATTATATTTTATTTTATATAGTTAGACAGTTCAAAACAAAAGATGTTCTGACTGTAGACAATTGTAAGAAAAATCACACTGAATTGTAAGTAAAATTTCCAGGGTAACACGATGAAATTCTTTCTAAGGGACAACAGTTCTGAAGAAAAAAGCATTAGTGAGCTCCGGTAAGAGCCATCGGTTCCTGAAGTTTCGATCTGTTTGCTCTTATCGTCTCCAAAAGAAGACGGAGCAGTAGATGTGTTGAAGTCTCAACTTTTTCCGTCTGAAATAAAGATTTTTAAATTGATCTACTAGATTGTAGAGCACAACTTCAGTTTAAGGGTGTGTGTGTGTGTGTGGGTGGGTGTGTTTTGTAATGCCCATTCGTGCTCTTCCCTACTGACTTAGATTAGTGCATGGGTTAGATGGGGTGAAATCGACCGGACTTTATTGTTCTGTTCCCGATTGCTATGGTTAGGCTGACAAACATTTTGTCATTGACATGGATGATCTAAGCATCTTTGAGGGGTCTGGGCAACTTTAAGGGATAAGATATTATGGGTGAAATGGGGTGTCTACTTCGGGACAGTAGCGTTTTCACCGTACTCTTTTAACGTTACTCTCTTTGCGACTCCAGATTGTTCCAATCACATCTGTTCCACGGGCTGCGGGGAGATTACACTGATAGCGGTCGGGAATGACAGTCTACAGACCTCGCCGTTTCCATCTAGTTTCCAGCCATACAGCTATTGTTTTTATAAGATCACACCACCTTCCGACAGGGATCTGAGGTTATATGTAGTTTTGGAGTTTGTTGATTACCGTGTAAGTATTGAGATAATATTAACAGATATCTGTATTCGCTTTTCACAAGGCATATTCTTTACTTCATGCACTTTGGAGTTATTGGCAGGCTGGGATGGATCGGGAGGGGGTCACAGGGGCTGTCTTCCTCCTTTTCTGCTAGTCATAGTTGTTTGTGGTTGTAACCCCGCCCCCTCCCCCTCTAACGTTTTTTTTTTTTTTTTGCGTACAGAAAATGTTGATGCCCGTTCTACACAGTGCAAAGAATGACGTCAAAAACACGCAAGACAAAAACATTTATGAACAACACGTCATCATCTTCAGCCAATATGATAATTGGCATTTTAAAAAATTAAAAAAATAACAAAATCTTCGGAATTTACCAAAATGGTGTTAACAGATATATTCCCTTCGCCCATTTAATGCTCATAATCAACAGGGAGGATCGGACCCCCACTCCATTCTTCCCCCTTTAATATCCCTTATCACGATCGACCAAAAAGGCCGAGTTGTTATGATGGTTAAGGTTTACTTAGTACTTGTTTGTCTCTGTGCTTGTATGTATATGTTGAAAACATCTAGTATAAGCCTATAGACAAATCATAGGATTACCTGCCATATGCCTATTCCACAGATAACTAAGTACCATGGAAGCTGCGATGACTCGGTGACTCTTGAGGGCACATCATTAATTGACCTTTCTGACGCGCGACGGGTCTTCGATTGTGACGTCACACCATCCCTACAGGTCACATCTTGGAATAGCATGACAGTGATTGTGTCGAGTGGATTGCAGTCAAGTTCTGAAGGATTCATAGCCAAATATAGCTTTTCAGGTGAAATTGTGTTTTTTCCCGTTTACTCCAGTTGTTCATGTCTATATCACATTTAAGCAAGATGTGATTAATGTCGATGGCTCATTGTTAGAGTCTTTGTAGAATATTTGATACTTCATGCCACCATTTGTTTTATGTTTGCTCTGAATCTCACTTGAAGGATTCATAAAAAATATGGATTTAAAAAGGTAACTCAATTTACTTATTTAACCTATATATCTTGCTTTCGGTTTTACGACACATTTCGTGCTGACCATTGCATCAAGGATTATAAGGGACTGAGTCAAATTTCCTATGCCTAGCACATACCATGCCTTTACCTCAGCCCTTACCATAGAACCAACATTAAACCCTAAAGCTAACCCAACTCCAAATATTCCAGCAAAATGCTGGCGTGGAATATGTCATCTCAACCTGCATACCCGGAAACTATTATCACTTATATCATTATCAATAGCATATACGTATCTATTTTCATTATTCTAGAAAAGCCCGGATGTAGTGTTGGATACCCAATTAAACAAGCTTCGGAGGAGGAGGGGGAGGAGCGTGTGATCTTCTGCACGGCGCCGTCAGGTGTAATAGCCTCACTGAACTACCCCTCCTATATAGCCTTAACCAACGATTGGGCTATCATTACGGGAAATAACACCTACATCAAGGTCGACAACATTCTTCTAAACTTGACGGAAACCTCGAGCAGTGACGAAGGATGCAGAAGCTTTCTGGAGATTAGGGAGGTAAGTCTATGTTCCAACCTTCTTTAGGGTGTACATGTGCGACACGTGCTCCTGCTACTATTGCTCTTTGAGCCAGTGAACCTTGAACCCTGAACCTTGAAATCAGCAACTCTTTCAGTATGGGACGATGATATGCTGTGCGTCAGTGTGAGGTGTGTGGTGAAGTGAATAATAGCACACTGACCATGTGGAAGGCATACTCCCCAGGGAGCGGAGATTGTGCACATTGCTTGAATGAATCCGATGACCGGGGTAATAATATATATATATATGAAAAGCGCTTAGAGACTGTTTTTCGTATGAAGCGCTATATAAATCCAGATTATTATTATTCATCCGATATGAGTGCAATAACATGTAAGAGTGCACCTTGCGAGTCTAAAAAACCCTCATCATCTGTCTCATATAAGTTATAGAATGTTGGACCCGACACGAGGCTTTTCCAATCGGGTGTGCAAAATCCCTGAAAGCGGATGGGTTGGTTTTTTGGACAACTGGTCCCGATCAATTTCCAACCCTGAGTTACAACTTTAACCTGGAACCTAAGACAATGCAATCGTAAACGGGGCTCACTTTTTCAGAAACATAAATCTCACAATCTTGAGGTTCAGTGATGACTGATAACAATAGTAAAATACGATATGGAACTATCAATTGATTTGGCATGGAAAAAAATCATGACTTACTGCCAAGTCTTGTTGCTTTGGGTTTTTATGAATTTACATTCAAAACTGTGGAAAAAGACTTGATCTTTTTGTTACCATCAACTGTTATTATAAATGTGTACATTTCTTTTTGCAACAGGGAGACGACAACGGTGGCACTAAAACTTATGAATATTGCCCAGGCGGAAACCCTATACCAGAAAAGTTCTTGAGCAAAAGAAATCGACTTGATATCAAGATGACTTTCCATGAAGGAGCCCTGGGAAGGTTTTATGCAGAATACCAAAGCCTAACATTCCGCTCCGTTCAAAATAACTCCGCCCCAGGTAATCCAAATGACAGGGTCGAATTTGGGCCCGGGAAATCAGTTTTGGAATTTCGGTGCGACCGGCCTACTCAATAAAATCTTGAAGATAAATATCAACCTGGCCTCAGATCACAAAACGACCGCCCCTCAGGCCAGAATACGAAGAGACACGTGGGGGAAAACTCCTCTGACTCCCAATGGCCAGTCCGCCCTAGGTGAAAGGGATATTAGAAATATTATCCTTAAGAAGGGTGATCCTAATATCTGCATTGCTCTTTTTCTTCATCCTTTTAAAACGCGGGTGCAGGCTGGGTTTAATCAATTGCCTACTGAAGCCTGGTGGCCCAAGTATTAACCCTATGTAAATAAATGAGTTTAGTAGTCAACAGATTAAACGGATGATCATTCCCCTATAATCAAAGGATTGCATACGAATGTTTAATCACTTGACTCGGAATGCAAAGCGCGTCGGTTCGAGGCACAGGACATGTTCGTTTCAGTGGATTACATTATGGTATAATTTTTTTCAAACATGGAATATTCCTTAATTTATTTCTGTTTTTCATGTTGTATATAAGTATTATACAGTAATTGTTTTATTTTGTCTAATGTATCTTTGTATTTATATGTATATTTGCACTTGTAGTGGACCCCAGTAAAAAACAATTTTTATTAAATCGGCAATCCTTTTTTAATATGTGAAATGAGTAAAATAAAAAATAAATAGATGAATGTGCAGACTTTAATTCCTTTTGTCAATGACAAATGACAAAAATCAGTGACAAATCTGCTGATAACTAACCAGAACCAAGGATTTGAGTAGTTTATAACAAAAAATGTAAATTTTTTTCACTGATGACAAGTTTTGTGAAACACACCCCAGGTTACACTTGCCCTGAGGACTGGGAGATGTACTTGAACTTCTGCTACCAATTATTCTCCAACGACAAACGTATAACGTGGCATGAGGCAGAAGCTGCCTGTCAAGTAAAGGGGGCGGAGTCTCATCTGGTCAGCGTCAAGGGTACGGGAGCAATGGACTATGTTCATCATAAGCTCACCTCTGATTGGCTTTTGGAGGAGAAGGATAACACATTATACATAGGTAAGATAAAGAAAGATTACTTTAGATTTTAATTGACCACGAGCGTAAAAATCAACCCAATGCACTGTTATGTATGGCTAAGTGGGGCTTTTCTCCAAATGGAAATCTCACAGCACCTCGTCATTTCAAAGGAACTACACCCCCAAAGAATAAGCGTAACTATTCTGAAAAATGAGATGTATTTTAGCACTTTGACGTAAAATATTCCTTACGAAAATGTAGAGAGATATATAAACGAAGATATGCTTGGTATGACGTTGGCGCAGCCTTTTTTTTTAATGTGACGTACCAGTTGAAGTTGTTCATCATGCACCAAGCTTTAGTTGGAAAAACTTTTTAAATCAATTTAAAAAACCTTTACTTTTCAAAGAGGAAGAATCATAGCTTAAAAGATAGAAATTATATTTATTACATGTATATATACAACAGGGAACAATTGTGACTATTTCATATACAAATACTAAAATATAGCAGTTGACTAATCTATATCTTTTCTGAGAAATGCACACCCCGGAAGATAATAGCAGATGAATGAAGTACTTCACCATCACACACACCTAGGAATAAAGCATCCATTTATCCGAATTTCGAATACATTTAGTCGATAAACGACTTCACATAGAATTTCACGTTATCAAGAAAATGGCGATTCCCATGTCATGCTGAGAAACAGTACATTATTTTGAGTATATGGCTCTCTCATACGATATGGAAAGGGGATCTTGTAGATTAATGGGCAAGAATATAATCAATCTCTAAGAATAAGTATACATTTTTCTTGGGGTGTGGTTTCCTTTTCTTTTAAATCAGTTCATTAATATGCGAAATTTGTGAAGTTGTTATCATACTGAAACTCAATTTGAAAATGTATTACCATCAATTAAAGTTTTTAAAGTAAGAATTTGATGAAATAATCTATATTTTCCATTTCATACCTTCTTGAATAATTTCAAAATGTCCGTGACACGGAATCTGAGTTTGCAGCTGATAGCAAACGGATTATTTAACCAAAGATACTTGTTTATATAACAGGACTGCAACGAAGCAAGGATAATGGTAACTTTCGTTGGTCTGATGATTCCCCTATATCGTTTACCTCGTGGTATCGGTCGTAAGTATTGTTGTATCAGTCGTAAGTATTACTCTTTGTGACTAGACTCTCGCTAGCATGTGCAATTATCAATCTGTTTATGTTTCAGGGCAGTAGGTTGTAATATTTAGCACATTTTCCGAGAAAAGGCACGAGGAACAGATAAATAGTATAATTTTATCAGTAGGCAATGTTCCTTTTTTACGGGCCTTACACAATAAAGATCGTTGCGATCGTTATCTACTGTAAATATCGAAATAGTTAAAGCCCCTCTAAAGTGTTGAGAGCCCCACAAATTTGAAGGCTCAATTTTACTTTAACCGTAATTATATGAAAGAGGAAGCCGCTTAAGACACAATTCTGCAAGGATTTTCAAAACAAATGTGTTTGAAGTCGAATATTGATAAAAGCATACATCAGAAAACCCAAGTTATATATTCTCTTGTCAATATTTGTCTTCACACTAATTTTGGGGTGAAGAAGTCTAAAGTCTGAAATGTGTCTGAAATGACATCCTCGTTTACATTATGATAGTTTCGGTGAAATATTGCCATCAATTTCTTGGCGAATTCGGGGCTCACTTAAGAGTACTATGCTATCGTTATCTACTAAAGATATTAAAATAGTCAACCTGTGCGATTGTTGTCTACTGAAGATATTGAAATAGTCAACCTGTGCCATCGTTATCTACTGAAGATATTGAATTAGTCGTATTATGCGATCGTTATCTACTGAAGAAATCGAAATAGTCAACCTGTGCCATCGTTATCTACTGAAGATATTGAATTAGTCGTACTATGCGATTTTTATCTACTGAAGAAATTAAAACAGTCAACCTGTGCGATCATTATCTAGTGAAGATATTTAATTAGTCGTTTTATGCGATTGTTATCTACTGAAGAAATTTAAAAAAGTCAATCTGTGCGATCATTATCTAGTCAAGATATTGAATTAGTCGAACTGTGCCATCGTTATCTACTGAAGATATTGAATTAGTCGTATAATGCGATTGTTACCTACAGAAGCAATCGAAATAGTCAACCTGCGCCATCGTTATCTACTGAAGATATTGAATTAGTCGTACTATGCTATCGTAATCTAGTGAATATATTGAATTAGTCGTACTATGCGATTGTTATCTACTGTACATATTGAAATAGTCCACCTGTGGGATCGTTATCTACTGAAGACATTGAATTAGTCGACCTGTGTGGTCGCTATCTACTGAAGACATTAAAATAGTCAACCTGTGCGATCGTTATCTACTGAAGACATTGAAATAGTCAACCTGTGCGATCGTTATCTACTGAAGATATTGAATTAGTTGTACTATGCGATTGTTACCATAGATTGCAATTTTTGCTTTGATCCTCGTATTTCTTACATTTGTTATTTGCAATGTTTTTCTCTTTCATTTATGTAATCCCTGCAACCTATCATCTGTAGTAAAACATACTGCATCTCTTTTGATTATGACTCTAACAAGTGATTGCTACCCTAGATATGTTTGCATGCACTTTTCTATTTAATCGCTTTAATTCCATATTCTGTTTAAATCATAACCTTATCATTTGATTTCGCCCAATGCATTTTTCTATCTTTTTTATAGGCCGGACGTGGGTTATTGTCAGCCGAATGGGAGTTCACTGATGGAATGCACAATGATTATCATGACACAGATAAATTCCATCGCCCAGTGGCATGATGTTCCCTGCTCCCGACCTAGCGCTAAAAAATACATCTGCAAGCAACCTGCCATTTCTATGGGTAAATATGAGATGAAGGTGTCATGGTAGAGTGGTTAAAATTTTAGTATTGGGGTTCGATCCCTGACGTGGGACTCGTGTAGGTTTCCTATATCATATTAACAATATATAATGAAAAATTTAAATAAATAAACATACATATTACACATCGAATTCCTGATTAAAACGGAGATGAAACTGTGAAACAGATTGTAGAAATTATCCAAAGAAGGGTCGCCCAAAAGGAAATAAACAATGAAATCGAACGCCCCATTCCCATCATTTTCGAGATCCCTCCCGATATCAATACGACCCACCCACCTCCCAAGCTCACTAAGCTAACATTCCACAACCCTCCCACATCGATCCGACCCACCCCCCCCCCTCCATGCCCACGTTCACTGAGCTAATATTCCAGACCACTCCCACATCAATCCGCCACACCCATCTCAATGCCCAAGCTCACTGAGTTAGCCAGAAGTCAGAGTGAACCTTAACTAATAAACAGAACGGCATGAAGAAAGCAGGTTGGGAAACATGTGAAACATTCATGGTGTTGAATGTAATATACATATTTAGTATAAAATGTAAATTCGCATAGAATGTACTACATCATCGAGAAATACATGTTATATTTACATTTTAAACTTGTGATAAAATCTAATAGAACACGTGCTTTTGTGCCTGTTTATGATAATAAAGCCTAAATATTTCGTAACGTATGCCATAGAAAAGTACGAAATACCTTGAATTTATTATAAACCTGTGGTTTAGCTGTAATCCCTTAAAATCTGTTAAACCTTCACAGAAACGGGCGAACCTTTTAATACGGATGATCATCCAGTGGAATATCATCCCCCAAGTAAGTTGTATACGGGATATTTTCAAAATGTCCGTCAAGTATGACTAATTATCACAACTTCATTACATTGTATTCCAAATGAAAGAGGGAATATAATATCCTTTTGAGATATATTGAGACCAATTAGGTCTGTTCGTTTGTGTGTTTGTTTTTAATAAAATACTAAACCAGATATTTGTTATGGTCCTACAGAAGCCTACTCCTGCAAAAGCATTTAATTTGCGTAAATTGTTCACGTTTTCTATCCTTATTTCGCATGTCGTATCTTTATCCTGTGAAATCTACCGCTTATTTCCTGCACGTGATGATGAATTCAAGATGTTAAATTGCAATGTTTTGTAGCTTATTCATCAAATTAGATGTATACGAATCGCAAAGTCTTGTTAAAAATGTGGAGCTAATTAAATTCTACTCCGAATTCAACTTAAATTTCATTCATTCATGTGTTTATTCATTTATCTATCTATTCGTTCATTAATTATTCGTTATCATTTATCCTTTATTCTTGTTGTTCTCTTAGATGAGATCGCTCCTTGCGCAGAGTCACTGTTCCAGTGTATATCAGGCGAATGCATCCAGAAGATTTTCGTTTGTGATAAAATAAAGCACTGCTCTAACGGTTCAGATGAATCAGATTGCCCAACACGTAAGTCCTAGCCTTATACCAAGCCGTACTTGTCTGTCCTCATTCATTGAACGCTGTATATGAGATATCCATTAATTCCTTAAACGGCTCAGCGCTAGCCTTCGTAGTGCATACGAGATGTACGGGCCAGTGGTCATCGGTTGGTGGAGTATTGGCGTGCACGTTCGATGTACGAAAGCAGCCACAAGCGCCTTGATCAAATCCAATGTATTGCAATGCAAAGTTTCTTTACAATGATAATTTTGTGGCAGTTAGTCATATATTTTAAGTACTTTGTATATCAATAAAATAAAAGGTTAAAGTGTACTCTGATCATTTGCTTAATGAAACTATATAGAAATAGATAAATAAAATGAAATAAATATCAGTTACGACTAAGCATTCATTTCATTGTAGGGGATAGATCATATTGATGTCCATCTTAAGACAACGTTTATGTTTAGCAATGTGGGGATAAAAGAAAGACTCTCATATAAATATATTACCTAGTTCTTCATTTCAAGGCCCATTTCCATTTATTCCAAAAGTTTGCTATAACTAGATATACTTTAGATATTAAACTCTAAAATCTCAAGATTTGAATGGGCCAGAGTGATTTTTTTCTTCAAAATTGCTAGTCTTAAGAGATACCCGGAAAAGTTGATTTAGCATAAAATATGGATTTTTAGTGTAAATGGTGTATTTAGTAGGCTTCTTTCAATTTCATTTGTATTATTTAGACGAGGGAGGATGCCCAGAGAACTTTTACAAGTGTACCGAAGGACAGTGTATATCGGCTTCATTCCTGTGTGATAATATCAACCATTGTGAAGACAACTCAGATGAAAGGGGATGCCGTAAGATCAAGCACTTTCACACTTATAAAATGAATGTCAAACATAAATATTATTTTCCCTTCAACACTACGAAAATCTCCATAATTTCTCATTTATGTTGCCGTTTCCAGCATTTATGTTCATCTCTTTCCTGTTCATTTACATGTGCATGGCGCCTATGGGTTGATTTCACAGATTACTCACCTTGCCGAAACGATGAAGTCCCATGTGCCAGTGATCCTAATGTGTGCATACCACTCTCTAGGACCTGTGACCTCATAGATGACTGCCCCATGGGATCCGATGAAACAGACTGCGGTAAGTTAAGGCTTGTGCCCCTATGCCGCGGTAAATCGTAGCGTTTTACCGCTTGTGTTCTTTTTCCCTTTTATTTTTGAACCGTGATAGCTTGCTGCATTGAACTTTTTAAGTATTTTTTTGCACACTGATGAATCCGTAATGAGTCATCACTTCTATTCAATTAATTGTAAATCTAAGCATATCAGGATCTCTTGTAGCGCAGTAGAATATATACTAAATGTTGGGCAGTTTTTGCGCTCTTTAAATGTATTATTATTATTATTATTGTTAACATAACAAATCGCCGCGGTTTACCGTTTCATATCTGGATGAGACTTTCCCAAAGAGAAGAAAAACAGTGATTCCTTATGATTAAAAGTATAGAATAATTGTTTTGGGTCATTGCATTGTTTTAACCCATTCAACAACAAATGAATGGCGGTACAAGATAGTGTTATTGGTAGCCGGTAGGATGTGACAGCCAATGTAGTATGCTTAGCAATTCGAGCCTCGTAGCTCTTGCTTGAATGCTCCCCAGGGAGTGGAGCAAGTGCATACATTATGTGCGGGCAAGCCAGAATCCGATGACCGGGGCAATAACATATTTGTAAAGCGCTTAGAAACTCTGACATTGCCGAATGGATGTATTAAGCGCTATAAAAGCAGAAATGTTTTTATTATTTTAGTTATTCGTCAAATTATCAACATATTCACTGATACCCTTTTTTCATCTCCTGCTGATACTGTTTCTATAATGTTGATTACAAAGAAGACATCTTGTTTATAATTCCTTTTTAAGATGATAGTCACAACCTGTTCCCATGCTACTCGGGGAATATGCTCCCTCCCCATGCTCGCTGTGATGGTATGATAGACTGTATTGGATCATCATATGAAGATGAAAAAAATTGCGGTAAGTTTTCCTGTTTTTTGGCGGGGGCGAGCTTAGAAATGTCGAGGTATTCATTGTTATTGAGTTACAGGCCTCCATAAATTTAGATTAGTCGTTTATAATTTCGGCCAATACATGAATACCAAATTATATATTTTGTTATTACCCTCATATTTGAGTGCGTTGTAATTGGCTATCATAATTGTGTTGTTTATGTTTTAAGCTAGATATAGCCAGAGAAATTGTGTAACTGTTTTATTTATCACTATTATTATATTAGTAGTAGTAGTAGTACTGTAAGTAGTAGTAAGAGTAGTAGTTAAGTATTAGTAGGAGGAGTAATATTTGTATTACTATTATCACAATATTATTTGAATCATTGTCGCTATTACAATCATCATTTTCACCCTTTTGTTACCCTTACTATTGTCATTAGGATTATTTGAGTAAAAAACATAATCATGAAACGAATTGAAAAACAATTGCTAGCCACATGTTGTACTGTATTTTAGGTTTAGATTTCAACTTACATATATATATATATATATATATACAATGTGAGTCCAAAAAAAGTTTACACCTAGAAAGTTGCTAGTTATTAAAAAAATATACATATTAACAGTAAATTATTATACATCTCATGAAAGAGTATTTTATCCCAATTCATTTGGTATCATTTTTGTGTGGTATGTGATTATTATTATTATTATTATTATCATTATTATGTGTTCATGCTTGGATGAACAGGTGGCATTGTTTGCGAGAGTGCAAAAATCGACTTGCGCCAAAGTTGCATACGTGATGTTTGAATAAAACTATTGGGATTTTGGTATTAATTCGGTCTTTGCAGATCCAAATAACATCCCTAACAAAATTAATCAAGCCACACATATCAAATATCAAATATCAACAACATTTGTGCGCGTGTGTGTGTGTGTGACTTTCCTTCTGCAAAAAAGTATATGCAATGCATTTCATTTTGCATTTCAATCAGTTCAGTCTCTCATCCGCTAATCCCAGCATAATGCATATTGTAGGCATCACTTTGGCGCAAGTCGATTTTTGCACTCTAGCAAACAATGCCCCCTGTCTATCCAGGCGTGAACACATACCACAAAAAATGATACCAAATGATTTGGGATAAAACACTCTTTCATAAGATGTATAATAATTTACTGTTAATATGTATATTTTTTTAATAACTAGCAACTTTCTAGGTGTAAACTTTTTTTGACTCACAAGGTATATCTCTACATCCGTTCTGACAGATTTGTTTTAATGAATGTTTTAATGATAATTTTTGCATAACGGTGTGGTGTTCCTCTCCTTGCTGCTCTCCAGACTACCAGTCAGAGAACTACACTTGTAACGATGACACAGAACTACAATGTGATAATGGAAAGTGCGTTGACCTGTCTACGAAATGTATGTATGACGTCGACAGGTTAAGGTTCATCATTGGTTGCAGAGATGCGTTTCATCTTCGCAATTGCGGTAATTATACTTTTAAAGTAATAGCTTTTCAAAATAATGAAGGCCTATCATGGGTAGTACAAACAATTAATTCTGTATTATTTTGCTTAGTTAAAGTAGGATCGTCCGAATCATTATATACATTATAAACTAAATTCTGTCAGCTATAGACAACAAAGTGTGATTTGATTACTTTTCTCCACTTCACCAAGTTAGGATAGTGATATTTCATTAAATGCACTGAATTGGGTCAGTCAAGATCACTAGCATAATAATGATAAAGACTACAGTGTGTGTCTCAAAAAAGTTCACTGTTGGAAAAAAGGTCTCTCGAAATTAGTATGTCAAACTATTTTCTGGAAATTTGTCATACCCGTGGATAGCTTATGGTCTCTTCTAGAAGAAAAAAAAGTGGAAAAAAAGAAATGACGATATTTCATGCTGGAGTGAGCAAAAGCCACTTTTGTGAAAGAATGCAAAATCCTAACTTCATCAGAATTGGTGGGTTTATTTATACGATTTCATCCACAGACATGCACATTTCCTTTAAAAAAATTGAAATATTAATTGATGAGATTTTCCAACTATAAGTTTCTTTGTTAACGCACTATAAAGTATTGTAAGCTTCTTTTTTCTTCTCTCTGTCTGTCTCTCTCTCATTTTGCATCCGCAGATAACTTCCAGTGCCCTCCGTATACCTTCCTCTGCCCACTATCCTACTGTATTCCACTGCGCATGCGCTGTGACGGGATCAAGGATTGTCCGAACGGTCAGGATGAGCTGGAATGCAATGAAGGTTTGGATGTTATCATATAGTTTTCATGTAGACATATATACATACAGACAAGGCGTATTACAAACGTTCACTATAATGTGTGCGTGTGCGTGTACGTGTGTGCAGGCGCGGATCCAGGATTTCTTAGGGGTGGGGGCCCAAATTTGAAATCAATTTGAAATTTAGTAAGCTGAAATATGAAAATCGTGCCGGCCAATATTTTGTTCAGTGGGGGGGGGGGGGGGGCATCTCCAAAGAAATGGTAAAATTAACGTTAACAAATGTAGAAATAAAACACTTTTTCGCCCCCCCCCCCTCCCCCTGGATCCGCAACTGCGTGTGTGAATGTAGAAGACTTTTGTATGAGTCACTGCAATGCGGAATACCAGGTTCAAGTCTCTGCCATAGAATTAATGTCATTTGGCAAAAATTAAAACTACATTTCCTACATTCGACGTTCGTGAGGTAATCGGGTACTTGGTAAGATTATTACTTGAAATGAAATCGGTTGCCAGAGCTCAAAGCCTTAGCGAAAATAGATTACCGACGTTAATGGTAATGGGTTGTATTCCGATAGCGCGTACTAAGTTAAGCCTTGCTTAACTTAGTTCACACTTGTATGGAGTGCCTGTTGACAAATCATTTACCCTGTACAGAATATTTTAATCCTGCAATGAAAAGTGTCCAGAAAAATAATTTTGCAATGAAATGGGACTATGAACTGACTTTTAAACGCCTTTTTTTTGCAGGCGAATTCCAATGCCCACCTTCGAGTTTTGCGTGCCAGCCATCAAATGGCAGGAGCATATGCATTGCCCCTGATCAGATCTGCGATAGACAAAAACAGTGTCCTGGAGGAGATGATGAATTATATTGCGGTCAGTACAAAATAGTTTAAGAAAGAAATTATTACTAGTTAATCAACTGATTTTAAATATGAAATAATTGACTCGAATGTACTTATTAAAGCATTCCCTTTAGTCCCTATCAATACATTTTGCACAATATTTTCTATTTCCATTTTTAAACACAATTTACATATACGATTTATTCTTACAAGAGGAAGGTTGAGCATTGAAAGATGAGTTAAATTAATATAAGAGGATACAAATCAGTTGCAAGTGTATATGTGTATATATATATATATATATGGTCGAAAGGGAAACATGAGGTTGAATCCGATTCTGTATACAGTGAGCATATGTTTATCTGTTTGATTTTTTGGTAAAGTTGTGTCGTTTTCCTAGTTTTTTTTTTTTTTTTTTTTTTTTTGGGGGGGGGCTCAGTTATAAAGAGGCCTTGAATAAACTTTGATCTGAGCATGATAGATTGATGCAGGCCAGTATAGAATATCTGATAGGGTAGTGCTTGTCATTTTCTGAAAGTATTTTTTAATCTAATTAGATTTCACCTGCCCGGTTAACTGCACCTGTGTTGGTTTATCTGTCACGTGTGAAAGCCCCTCATGGCAGAGCGATAACCCACCTATCTTTCACAGAGACATACGAATATTGTAAGTATACCATTTTACATCTGGAAGTTATAACTACCGAATACCTGATGTTGTCTTTGAGAATATAGTTTTTTTTTTCTTCCACGCAAGCATGTTTAGTTAAAATGTTAACAGAAAACCTACTCTGGGTTATTTGTGCCTTTGACCTTGGTTATAATAACAGTCTCTAATTGTATTTGAAATGAAATAGTTTTATTTCTTGCTTCTTCTATCGATAAATTTTGACTGCCCGCCGTTTTCCTCTTCCCATTTAGAATGAACACGTGAAGAACTTTTTAACAAGTGAAAGTTTGAGATTGATCATTGCAGATTACAAAATACACGTACCTGAATTATGTAATAGTATGAGAGAGGGGTGACTTTAATTGCCCCGCCCACCCCTGGAAAATCGTGATCCGCCCCTGATCAAGACTTACCCTTTGACGTTGTTCTTTTATTTGTTTTTTGGCTTTTGAAAAAAAAAATTGACAGACGTATTTCATATGTGCCACTGGTATTGGAACCCGTTGATGAGAATACACTCTATGGAGATAATAATTCAACCACGTCAGAGGAAGATCGCCGCATCTCAATCCAGTTGTCTGAACTACCATACCTCGCTGAATTGTAAGTATCTAATTTTTTGAAATCGGAAAGAAAGTGTAACTATTGAATCACAGAAAAATATTGTTGCTGGGCACTTTCTGTTTATGTACTATGACAGTAACGTTTTATTGTATTGCTTTTGTAGTGAACACATTATATAAACACTAGACTATTTTCGTCATCATGATAATGTAATCAAATTTAATGCATACAACTTTCTGAAGTACCTCGATACGAGATATTTACCTCATCTGTCATTTATACTTGTATCTCAGTATTTCAGAATGCGATTTGCATTCATTGGTAGTTATTAGGTAGAACAAGCTATAATGTTTGTTTTACCTAACCATACGTAGTATTTACAATTTGCTTCCTGAGTATTGCAATACAGTTATTCAAAACAGGTTAATGATATAACTCGTATTGAGGCACTGCATGTAGCGTATGTATTAAATGTGGATAACATTACGAAGGTGGCACATTTAAATATATTTGTTATCTTCACTTAAAACGATCACAAATACTCTTGAAAAATCAACCAAAAACAATTTCAATTGCCTTATCTATCACTAAGCAAAATGGTGGCACTCTATTTTGGTGTATTTCCTAATCCGAATATGATTTTTGTTTATACATAGCGTATTATAATTGATGAACTTGAGTTGATTTCCAGAAAGTTTTAGCGATCGTATTATTGGCATTTTAATGATGATATAGGGAATTAGAACAATGCAATTTATTGATACTTAACTTTTATTCATAGACAAAATATCAATGCAACAGGACAAAACAAAACGTTTCCACCTTACTCTGGTAAATAGTTTTGAAAAGAAAGCATTTTTGTTTGTTTCTCGCAGGGAGTTGATATGTACTAGACTTGTCCATCTTGATTCCAATGTCTTCATGAATAACACAAATCTTTATAAGATGTAAGTATGGACTTCGACTGTTATTTTAACCGATGGATTAATCTGTGTACAAACAACAAAACTCGCATTGATGTAGAGGGTTCTTCGGGGCTTCTGGTAGTAAATGAAAACGAGAGAGCAAAGAGAGTCGGAAGCTGGAAACTATAATTTGAACATAATTGTAAAGACCTTCAAAAAATCAACGCAGGGCAGTTTTGTTATAGTTTATCACAGGGAAAATATGTATACATTATATACTTTTTTCAATGATATAATCACACATTTTATTGGATGATGGACAAGCCTGAATGCCGGAGGGTAATTTTTCGAAATTCTTTGCGATTGGCTTTGCTCAGATTACATTTACCTGCTTAATTAAATAATTGGTTCGAGATAATAAAAACCCAGAAGATGCAAACGAATTACGTTTATTTTCAAACTTAAAGTCGATGAAAGGTATGCGCATCTTTTCATGTTACCACTGTTCGTAGATTGTCTTCTTGTTGAATGTATATCATTTTACTAGTGATATACTACACTACATATACGGTAGTTATGTTTTGTTTAGTGTATTATATCTAGTTTTAAATATACTATTTTGATGGGGTGTTCACTAGGACTTTCAGCTTAAAAAATGTATTGATCTTTTAACTTGTATCAACCATTAAAAAAAAATGGGGGATGTGCTGTTAGGATTAAACAAAGATTATGACTCAAATCATAATGATTTAAATACCTCGTCGGTTACAATTTTATTGACTTTGTCATTCTTTCTCTCTTTTCATGCAGGAATCTCTCAGGCAATGCATTGACAGATATCGAGCAAGGGACCCTCGGTCGTCTTAAAAATCTTCGAGAACTGTAAGTTTGATATTCACCCCTACAACCCTAGCGGTTTCGCTTCATATCCCAAGGTGTATAACAAATGTATGTTAGCGGAGTCGAAAATGACATCCTTTTTTACATAGTTCCTAGAACATTTTCTTTCAAGTATGACCCATGTTTTAAAGTAATATTAGATTCGGGTTGGACTTCAAACATCATGAAAATATATTTCTCCTTGAAATTTCATGACCTTCTCGTTCTTTCAAGGAATAACCCTTTTCAAATGTGCAAACATTTGAAGGTTGGCGAAAGCCCCCCCCCCCCCCCTCCAATTACACCTTTTTTTAAACTATTTTTCATACACACAGTCAATATTAAGTGATAATACCGGTCTTATAACGCACTGCCTTCGAAATGGTCTACACATAGCTACTTAAGAGAGATAGTTACGTCATCAGAGATTGCTTCTGATTGCTTACGTATTTCATGAAACTCCAAATAGTTACCTCTAATAGAGATTATACTTGGGAGCAAACTATTTGGAGCAACATAATTCAAGTTAACACCCATCTCGCGTACGCGTAGATGTCACCGAGTCTGCACTCCGTCGACTAGCTGGAAGGGATGGCGTCAATAGTTCTCAGGTCTTGTCTACGAAAGGGCTATTTCTATTAATACGCTACGAGTTGATCCTTCTGAAAGGTTTCTAGGGCACTGACTATTGTGGCCATTAAGGTCCGAATACTCTGTCTGGCAAACTGTCTATATGATTGGATCAGTCTTAGACATACATATGAATTCATTCAGTTTGACAATACAAAACAAAGCATGACAGTGAATTTAGTATCTTTTATCCCTGTTTGGTGTCCGATGACACCACGTCATCTGATAGGACACAAAAGGGCATTAACTAGTAAAGTTTCAACTTAGAGTTAACGCCCTTCTGGCTCTGAATGAATGACATGATGTATGAATCTTACTTACATTTGTATTTATTTTCATGGGGCTACTAATTAATGAGATTTATACTATACAAATGATGCACGGGTTTGAGTGCGTCGGTAGGGATTGTGTGCACAAGGTACCTTTGAATGGTTTTAGACCAAATTCAAAGGTAACGCGTGCACACAATTCCACCGACCCACGAATTAAACCTGTGCATCATCTGTTTTATAAGATGGGGCCCCAAAAATTGTCAAAAATACAAAATTTTGTTATTTTACAGATTTACCGGATGCATGGCAAAATCATGCGTCCGGTAATTTGTTTTACCGGACGCATGATTGTTAACTGATCATGAAATTTAAATAAAAATTTAAAAAATTGTCAGTGCACATTAAACTGTAAACTTAAAAAAAAAATATATATATAGAGAGAGATTTTTTTTAAATTTTTTTAAACAGATTATAATTATCAAAAAACACGAAAAAAAGAATAATTATCACCAACAAAAAATTATCAAAAAAATAATTTAAAAAAAAAAGGATATCGGTAGTATCGATCGCCGATATCGCGTGCATCCAGAGTCAAATTAAAAAGAATGTAGAAACAAACTCGGCAGGCGGCAATTTAATGACACTTTACAATATTCCAAGAAAAGAAGTAGAAAAGATATATGTTCAACCAAGGATGTGTACCTTAAGTAGTAAACTGCGAGAATTTCAGTTCAAAATATTGCATAATATTTTATATACAAATCATCATTTACATAGATTCAGGTTCCATGAAAATGGTTTGTGCTCATTTTGCAAAAATTTTGAAGAAACTTATCAACATATATTCTTTGAATGTAATACAATAAAGGAAGTCTGGGGGAAATGTGGAGATAGACTTAATTTACCAATTTTGAAGAAATTATCCTGGAAAGAAATTCATATAGGAATAGATGACACTACATTTAAAACAGAGCAATTATTGAACCACATTTTAATTTTGATTAAATATATGATTTTCCACAGTAGAGAGAAGGGAAACCCTCCAAAAGCAAAAGAAATAGAATATAGATTGTTGGAAAATAGAAATGAAGAGAAAAAACTTTCAATGGAAAGAGACACACTTTCAATTCATTTAAGGAAATGGGAAGCTTTGGAAAGTTTAGAATAAATGTTTTCAGTTTTTTTTTTTTTTTTTTTTTTTCTCTTATACAACTTCCTGACCCTCCCTCTCTTCTCTTTTTTTTTTTTTTTTTTTTTTTTTTTTTTTTTTTTTTTTTGCTCGTTCTATGTTAGCGTGTTTTTTGTATACTGTTGTACATGTTATGTGTTTAAATGTTGTGTGGGGTGGGGGGGTAGTAGGTGTTTTGTAGCTTTTTCCCTTTTTTTATATATATATAATTTTTTTTTTTTGTGTCTCCAAAGGAAAATGAAGAGGTGTAACTTTTGTATGTAAATGTAAAAGATCATTGGTAAATTTATAAAGACCTATGTTAAATTATTTTGTTATTTTGTATCCAATGTATTATGTTATAAATGTACAATTTTCTTTGAGAGAAACGAATAAAAACCTATGAAAACAAAAAATCCAGTAAAAATAATTACATGGTAATTGACCAATCGGATTGCAGGGATTCTTCTACCCATCTTATAATATTAGTTCAACAGTATCCTTGATATTCCGCAATAGGCTTCATTGCACTTATGCTTTATAATTGTCTTTCCTTCATATGTTTATGTGTCCTATCTCTATAGAGATATCACCAACACTTCGGTAGATCCTGGACCTGACAACAAAGATCTCTTCATTGAAGTCAACGATACTCTGACAAAATTGTGAGTAGGAAGTAATTCCTCAAAATCCTCGAGTGCTGTTATGGCAGCAGTACGTACTAAGGCCGATGAAATGATAATGAAGCGCCCGGTGGTGTTTCACAAAGACTAAGATTGACTTTAAGTTGGACATAACTATGACAAGCCGTTCCTGCCACTAGTTCCTCTAACCATTCCTTGCATTGGTTTATCAAGGAACGTGCAAATCGTGGTCACAAATCTACAGAATCTACCTTTGTTGATAGTTCATTATTGAAGGAAAAAATATCATCTAAAGATCATAATGAGAGATCAGTGGTGAGAGCAACCAGTGGCATGAACAGCCTGCCACAATTAAGTCCAACTTAAAATCGATCTCAGTCTTTGTGAAACACCCCCAAGAGTGGCAGTATGCTAGATATGATAGCTAAACAAGGCCTAAACAATTGGATGATCTTTTGTAGGCATTAATCCTCGTTACCACGCCTCTCGGAGGCGACTTAAAGACGTCAGTCCCGTAGTTGTTTAGCGTCCGGGGACCTTACCATTAGCGTCTTCTTCCGGAAGCGGAAAGTCAGTTTCAAATATCAGTCCATCAGACTGGCCAGAGTCTGTGTTTACCAAGTGCTAATGATCTGCTTTAATAGCCTTCTAGACCAAATCTTTTTTTCTCTACAAGAGCATTTTCTTTATCTATTTTGCAGGTACGCTGACAATTTTGTGTTCTGCTGCCTTCTTGACGATAGCGTGGATTGCCAAACAGAGAAAGACCGCTTCTCATCCTGCGACAACCTCCTTCAGAATCAGCTGCTACGTATCCTCATGTGGATCTTAGGTATCAGTGCTCTTATCGGCAACTCCTTTGTGGTCTGCTATCGTATCCTGCAACGCAAACGAGTGGAGAATAGTCAGGTAGGAAGTGGTGATAGTATAGGTTTTAGTCTGGGTCCCGTCTTATGAAGAGTTGATATTAATCGCAAATAATTTGCGATTCAATCGCAACTTCGTACATAAAATAAAGGGGACTCAAACTTCCGATTATGAGATGCGAACCTAGTCATTATCAACTGAAGAGTTGATATTAATCGCAAATAATTTGTGATTCAATCGCAACTTCGTACATAAAATAAAGGGACTCAAACTTCCGATTATGAGATGCGAACCTGGTCATTATCAACTGAAGAGTTGATATTAATCGCAAATAATTTGCGATTCAATCGCAACTTCGTACATAAAATAAAGGGGACTCAAACTTCCGATTATGAGATGCGAACCTGGTCATTATCAACTGAAGAGTTGATATTAATCGCAAATAATTTTCGATTCGATCGCAACTTTGTATATAAAATATAGGGGACCTCAAACTTCCGATTATGAGATGCGAACCTGGTCATTTTATACATTAAAAAGTTTAAAACAAAACCCTTCTGATGGACTAAGCAAGGGGCGACGAAGACAACTTCCCTTAGCCCATCGCTCTATCACTGAGCTATGCCCTAAGGCAGTTAACGCCCTTATCCAATAAGATCGCGTTTGTCTTCCTCACAATATTTGATCTTCGCGACAGGCTGACTAGCTCTTTCGAAATTTGTAGAAGAAGCACCCACAACATAACGAGAATACACCCGACAGTGGCAGGATTTTATAAGAAGGTAAAGAAGACGAAGAGAAAAAGGAGAAGAATTCAATTCTCATTCATAAAGCATTCTCTCTGATAACGAGAGTATCAAATCCTCATTAGAGTTTAAAAGTACAGATGAGTGACCACTGTTTCAAAAAGGCAGATCTACGGGCAAAGGTTCTTATAGGAAGAAAGGTCCCTATTCCTCACCATCTTTAATATATCTTGCAAAATGGGGTAGGACTGCCTGAAGCTACGTTACGTTTGGATAACGTTGCTGCGTATCAAAACAATTATTCACGGTAATGACCGTTTGTAAAGGCCAAATATGGTAAAGTTTTATTGACCAAGGCCTTTTAAAATTTGTTTGACAAGCTAACAGTCATCGCTAAAATACCTCAAACTTCTGTCATTCTACATTTCAAGAAACTATGTCATCATTGATCTGTTCCAAATATTTGAAATGATTTTACCAGCAAATGAATATGTGTTTTTATTTCCTCATTGTCTTCTATTTCCAGGTTCAATCCCACTTGATCTCAAATCTTGCGGTTTCTGATCTCATGATGGGTGTCTACATGATGATCATTGCTTCAACAGACGAGTTTTACCGCGGTCAATACTACCTCCACTCTGAGTACTGGAGAGGTGGTCTACTCTGCAGTGCGGCAGGGTTCATATCAATGCTGTCCAGTGAGGTCTCTGTGTTTCTTGTCATGATCATCAGCTTGGATCGTCTCTTCTGCGTCGTCTTTCCTTTTCGGCAGAGTCTCCACCTGACTCCTAGGAAGTCTTTGATCGTTATCGTCGCGACCTGGATCTTTTCGTTCTTGCTTAGTCTAGTCCCGCTTCTGGTCCCATCCTACGTTGGACATTTCTACGGGCAGTCTAGCGTGTGCTTGGCCCTGCCCCTGACCTCAGACACACTACCCGGTTGGGAGTACTCGGTCTTTATCTTCTTGGGCATCAACTTCTTCAGCTTCGCGGTGACTCTCGCCTGTTATGTCGCCATTTTCGCTGAGGTGTATCGGTCGTCTGCGCGCATGGCTGGGCGGAAGCAGCAAACCTCACAAAGCAGACGGATGAACGGTCAGATCAAGTTAGCATCCAAGATGGCGCTGATTGTGGGCACTGATTTCTGTTGTTGGATGCCCGTCATTATCATGGGTAACTTATTCATTTACAGTTTATTGATTGCAAATAGATGAATGATGGCTCAATCAAGCGCTCAATATTAACCCTGTTCAAAGGCAGAGTCAATTATTGAATGTTTAATTCCAAAGATCCTTTCAAAACATTTCTAATTTTTCAAGCTTAAATCTGATTCATAGTAGACATCGAGAAACAATTCCTAAGGTAGAATATGGAGGATTATAAATCAAAGTAAGCATTAATGAGACTTTAGTTTATTGGCCCAGTTAAGAAGGATAAGAAATTCACCATCTTAAGGTTCATAGTAAAAAATAAGTGCGTTTATATAGCGCATGTATTTTAACTATTCCTTCTTCTTTTTAACGAAATTCACTTTGATGATTAGACACATTTTCGTATTTTATGGGTGTTTCTCAATATCTCATTCTCAGGTTTCCTCGCGAAGTCCGGTGCTGCCCAGATCCCAGCTGACATGTATGTCTGGTCTGCCGTGATCCTACTCCCTATCAACTCGGCCATCAATCCCTATCTCTACACGCTCTCTAGCCTTCAGCAGCGCAGGAAGCAGAGACTCAGAACCAAGGCACTGGCAACAAACATGAGCATGCAAGACGTCAATACAAGTAATGATTATACAACAATACACAGCAGTGGAGCAGTAAGAATTACCCACACAAGGTACCTTTGGAACATTCTAACACGCCCGATCGAGGCGATAGCCGGGGTGTGTTTGGACCGTTTTTAAGGTACCGCGAATGTGGCTAATTTTACTAATGCCCGAACAAAATGATGTGTATTATTGTTTTATAAGATTATGTTTCGTTTGTTCTATGAAATGATGTTTTATAACTAGATTTTACTAATGTCCAGTCATTAGCATTTTATAATGACCGGTTATTATCAAAATTACGTGTTAGGCAAAAAAAATGCCTGGTCACGTGTTCGCTCTCAACCAATCATTTAATAAGGATCCACGTCATCATCTTATAATATATATTATACAGACATTGACTGGTAGGGTGTGTAATATGATATTCTTTGGCTCACCGAAGGGAGATATATTTTCCAAAAGGGGTTATATTTTTGAGAAACGCGCAGAGGACTTATAATGATTTACTACACATAATATACTTGAGTATTGTCTCCAAGGGAGAAGGCACTTGGGAGAAAATTCTAAATTAATGTTAAACGCGGGGAGATTTGTCCGTTTTGTTTTTCTTATTATTGGTCAGAAATACTTCATACAAATGAACTTATTACAAGGGTAAGATTGCCCTTTAAGTTGGCTAGGGACAGTAGTGTTAATTAGGCTCGTGTTCCTAGAGGTACTTGTCCTGGGATTAACGTTTTTACTGGTTGATTGACTTGACCTATTTATGTGTTTCCTGTCTGAGGTATACGATTGTAACAATTAGGACATTAAGATTTATACAATGTTAGAAAATCAATTAATTTCAAGTACACAGATTCTCATCTCAGGCTACATTTGGCATGCTTAGTCCGCATATACTTCGTATTTTCGTGCATGATCTGTACTACAGCCAGAAGCCAAGACCAGCGCTAACCGTTACCTCTTAAGCCTCTATCATCAAGACTTCCATTTGATTCTTGGTCCATTCAGAAACCGAGATCTCCATCGATCAGAATCTGGACGACAGTAGTTCCGACGAATCCGGTCAACGAAACATAAACCCTCTGTATGCCAGTCTAGCCAAACACTGCGTACTGACTCCCTTTACCCAGCTTGGTACAAGCACCCACATCCAAACCCTCACTGAGTACATCAACCAGCGTGGGACCATGCCTTCAATGGTGGACAGCGCCCTCATACGACGGGATGTCACGAAGGCCTTGTCATACTTGAAGTCCAAGGGCGTGGTCGATTTAGAGCCAGCTGAGGAGAAGATAGCCGTGCAGTTGGTAAATACATATTTACAGGAGAAATATATATGACCTACCTTCTTTGACTATAGTATATTATATTTTGTTTAATATAATGATAACACTTTGAAGTTATATGGACTATATGTTTCTCTAAAGCAAAATGCAAACATTTTAAGGTAAGGAACTCTTCTTATTCTTTCGTATAAGACAAAGGAAAGTACAAAGAATTAACACATATATAAAGAAACTTACTATCTCTAATGGTCGTGGTGTCCCCCCCCCCCCCCCCCCCCAACAAAAAATCCCTGACTGGGCGTACCGTTCACCAACATTATAGGCCACGACCAAATCATGAACTCGATTATTTTGACTAGCCAACTGCAGTTGATATGGGCACTCTACAAAGTCCCATATTGTATCAGGTATATTTAAGCATGACATAAAGTCTATGGAGGTCCCTTTCGTATTGAAAAGATCCATCTCACTTACTTCAACACAGGAGTTTTACAATTAAACAGAAGCGTCAGGGAATTCATTCATCTCGAGAGTTCAGTGACACAACTCCACCCAACACCCCATTGAAGTCAATGGCTAGTGAAACATAGACTTAACTCCTAAAGGCCCAAGTGCTCAATGACACATAAACCACTTTTTTTCTCAAAATGCCAAAAATGGAGTTACGTCTTTGTGTCACTGACCCCTCGATCTGTTGTTTACTTTTGCTCATATTCAGAGTTCTGGAGGGGATGTCCGCCAGGCCTTCTTTGTGGTCTACAACGCCAAGGATGTCCAGCGGTTGCTGCAACCAAGCAACAAATCCTCTAACCTCAACAACCACCTGTCCGATCAGCGGGAGTTTGTGAAGACTATGCTGGATGACCTGAAGGAGAAAGACGAGAATCTGAAAACCAAGGACGACAATCTTAAAGCCCATTTGCACTAGTTAGGCCAGGAGGGATTAGATCTCCCTGCATGGTCACCGACAGGTGGTTATCTCATCACATCAGCTCTCAATTACCATAAGACAGAGGGATCATGTAGGACCAATGGTCACCGATTAGGCATTGTTTGCTATATAGAGGGCGCAAATATCTATTAGTAGTGCAGTGGGACTTTAAAGCCTCTCAGATGCGAGATTGGGAGCTTAGATTTGTGTAAGATTGTTCAAGCATTAATGAAAAGACGAGAATATGAAAACCTCTCAGGTGCCAGATTAGGAGCTTAGATTTGTGTTACATTGTTTAAGCATGATTTAACGACAAGTAGAATCACTATAAATCATTTTTATCCACATTAAAGACCCGATATAAAGTCATGGATAGTTACTTTACAGTTGATATGTACCAACAAAAAATGTGTTACTGTTGGAAATCAAATGATATCTCTTAATTCATACAGATATTATAAAAACTCTAACGGCAGGAAGGAAGAGGAAGAGACATTACAATAATACATATATCATTATAATGATATGCTGTTTATACCGTCTTTTTAATAGACCTTCTGTCTAGCGATAATTCTTTTTCTTGTATATAAACTACTCTCGGACCATTGTAGAAGATGTATTTTACTATATTCTTGAAAGAAATATATATATTTATAATCAAGTTTGTTGATTGAAATAACATTACATGAAGATAATTGATAGTTTTTGTATGAATCATATATAATTCAAATCATTTGTACATTTAATATTTGTTATTGCTATACAGTGTGTATCAAAAAAAGTTTAACCCAACTTGTGTAGCTTCTAAGTAAAAAAAATATATAACCTGTGTGACCTTGAATCATATATTTTATTGTAAAGGAAACTAGTGTCGTGTCTAATTAAACCATTTTCAAAATTGTGCTCCAAGTATGACTGAACAGCAGGATTTTCAAAAAGTATTGTCAAAATCCTTTTGTACCAAGTTTGGGCTGAGGCAATGAATGTGGGTCAAGGGCCATTACGATTGTGTTATCTCATTCCCAAAAAAATTGCTATGTTATTTGCATTGACTATTAGGCAGTTGGAAAAAAAAGTGTTAACATCAGCTTAAACTCAAAGAATCAAATTGATGATATTATTTTCGTTATGATGATTGACTTCATTCTTATCCCTTGTTTAAGGGAACCTTCTTTGATTTGAGTTATACAAAAAGGATTAAAAACATTTTGGGATGTATTTTTTAAAATAAAAGTCTGCTGTCAAAAATTTAAATAGTTATCATCATAAATGATCTTTCTTGCATTTGGGTGAAGTAACCTTTGAGCTTTCGATCGCTATTCTATATAGACACATTATGCTCCTTACGCGTTTAAAATGGTGCGGTGTCAGGTGAGCAGAGAGAACTTAGAAATCATGAGACAGGGTATCCTGTCGATTGAAACAAGGTTCTGTTAAAGCCTAGTTACATTGCATCATTTTAAATAATGAAGCACTAAAGCAAGAGGCATAATTCCCCTTTTAAAAGGAATTAAGACCAAAGAAGCACATGCGTATGGCCTGACCCACTTTGGCCCAAACTTCGAACATTTTGACAACACTTTTTAAAGACCCAATAAATCCATTTAGTCCCTTTCGGATATGTAAATATATAGCATCTGCGCGCAATAAAAGTCCTGTATATCCCTCTGTGTTTAAAAATACAGAATGGGAATTACGCCATCACACAAAAAAAAAATCATATCTAAACAAGCCTTTACTTGCAATTTAGAAAAGATTATTGTATTCATATCGATATTAATTGGTGTTTTGTGTTGATTGTAACTGTTTCTCCGAATAAATATGTTCGAAGGTTAATTCCCAAGCCAAAATTATGACCGCGGGACCATTGCAGCCGATCGATCTTTTTCATTAAAAAAAAATGTGTTATGGTTCACAAGACCAAATACCTACATGTCTAGACTAAATATTCAAGAACTGATTAGTTTTAGGTCAAATGGAACATATGACATTTGGCCGAAACTTTCACAAAGGGTCAGTACAGCCCTAACAACCACAATCCCGGTCTTAACCCGCTACCGATTGACACTTTAATAGGTCACTTGGACTCCCATACAACTAGTTGGAAAGTCATGAGACGGATTAACGTGCACGATCATGGAACCAATTTTCGGTTAAAGGTAAAGACCAGTATTGGAAACGCTCCAATTAAAAAAAAAATGAAATGGAAGCTCTTATTACCAATCATGTGAAACAGTATGTTTTGACTAATACATGATGAAAACATTTTTGCCGGGAAACCGCCTATTAATTGATATATTTGGTAAATTGGTTTATCTATTGGTGTATGAGAGATAAACGCACGTGTCGCGCACGTGTGCGTATAGTCCCATATACATTTTTCTGTGTACAGTGCTTGTAACTTTACGACGACTGGGCCAATTTTTTTATCATTTTGATGATTCCAGAACCTTGCAGTAGACACCAATACTTATATGCTAGATGGTCAACCTTTTCTCATCGATTCCACAAGGGTTTCTTTCACAATGCAATCGCATGACCATAACTAGTCTTTATCTTTAAGAGTTTTGTGATTTTCTTATGAAATTGTTATATTAAATTGAATTGTTTACTTCGAATCCATCAAGCCTTTCCTAGGTTTCAACTGTTTTGCTTTGGTTACAAGGTGACTAGTGAACGAGGGTGGGGTGGGGTGAAAGGTGATCTATAACACAACCTCCTGCGACAATTAATCCGGGACGATTTCCTTCACAAACCGAATTCCTAACTTGAACTCTTTACCTAATAGTGTACCTAACCCTGACACTAAAACTAACGTGAAACGGAGCCCTTTAGCCCTAACTCAATGATTTTAACGAAATAGAGTCCCGAGCAATAGGTCGCCAGAGCAAATAAGAGACATATGGTAAGAGCGGGAGAGAGGGACAGATGAACGGGAAGCAAGTCTTGCTTAGAGTGGAAAGAAAGTAGAATAATTCACGCCTATCAGGGTTTGAAAGGATGGAGACTTTAGTTTTAGTGAGAAATAAAATAGATTGAGTGACTAAGAAAGAGAGAGAGAGAGAGAAAGACGGGGATTAAAACTTTTCATTAGAAAAAATATATTTTAGGAGGAAAAGTGATCAGGGAATAGAAATATAATGAAGACGCCTGGATTACCTTCCCAACCCCAATCAGCAGCCTTGTTAAAAATTTTCGAATAAGACCGGTGCCCATTCCCCCTCCCGATATAATTTATTCTTGATTGGCAAAGTTCTTATCTTTTCAGAACTTAATAAAATTACCATAATGGGTCATACAGATTGATCTGTACTGTTCTAAGAAGATGTAACTTTATCTATCAAGAATAATTCATACTATCAAAATCATTTCATGAAAAGAAGTAAGAAAGGTTTGTTTCAACTCTATGGGAAACAGTGAACATCACAATCTCGTACTTTGTGTGAATGACTATTTTGTAGAGAAAGTATTTGATATGATATGAATAAAATGGAGGAAAAAAAGGGGGGGGTATTTTACACAATTATCATAAGTAGTCCGAAAGTGATGGAGGTACACGTACTTTCAAAAAAAGTAAACCTCAGCCAAAAAAAAACGTACTGAGGCCTTATATACATTTCCTATAATGATTATCGTTATCATGGACAAAGAAGGGAAATTCCCAGGAGAACCCGAATATTTATCATCTTCGATCTGGCCTTGCCTTTGGATTAATTTGTATATAATTTGACGTTGAATTGGCAGCAATGTGTTTCCCCTGAACCTTCCTGTTATTGAGCGATGTAAAGGAAGTATTATTGTTTCGAATTGATAGACTGGTAAAGTTCAAATAACTGCCTTTCCTGCATGCCCTCTACTTGACTCCTGTCATCGGTGATTGCGGGCGGGGGTGTTCTCTCATTTAATAGAGGGGGCGGGGTAGGTAGACTGAAGAAAATTGCTTTTTCCATATATTTCCCCTTTCGACCTCTTGAAGACCTATGACTTTTTTAAAGCCAATATCATCAATGGGTTAACTCCTGATTTGTTGGGGTTAAACCCACTCCCCCCTCAAATGTTTGTATTATTTTGTTAAATTAAAATAAGAAATGTGTGTGCTAAAGGAGGCCTAAAAAAAGTGTGTTCCCCCAACCCCAAGCCACTGAACGAAATATCTGAAAACGTAATTTTCCACAAAACAAAGAACGAAAAAAAAGGTGCTCCCCGCCCCCCCCCCCCCCCCCCAGCGGCTGGATGAGTCGTTGCGAAATTTTCGGCCCGATTTTCAAATTTTCAAACACCCCCTTTGAATTAATCCTGCGTACGCTACTGGATGAACGAATACAAAACTTGGGTTTTGTGTTGTATGGAGATGTATAGTATTCTTTCATCAATAATCGTATTCTTGCACATTTATTTTGAAAATCCTTTCAGAAGTCAGTGTTAAATGACACTCTCTTTCACTTCATTATATGAATGAATTTAATGTTTGCTATCAAATTTGTTGGGCTCCCACCACTTCAGAGAGGCTTCAATACAAATCATGGTATTACCCCAGCTGTAGCTGAGCTGCCATAATAAGGCGCTAAAGCATTCAAGGAATTTCCTCTAACCAGATACCCATTTAATTCACCTGGGTGGAGAGTGACAAATGTAGATTAATGTCTAACCAAAGGAAATTAGTTTCGTGGCGGGACTCGAACAGCGAACCATGTGGTCCACAGTAGTCCGGTGACATATCTGCTAGACCACGACACCTATATTATATTATATTACAGCTATATGCCTTTCAGCAACTTTTCAGATGATTCATAGGCAAGACTAAAATGGCCCACGAAACGGATAATTTACAACAGGCCTATTCGCCAATATTTTTTTTATTTTTTTTGTCGGTCTCCTGGAGCTTTGCCACTTTCCACCAATGTATATTTCCTCATAGTTTTGCTTTGTTTGCAGGTCTTGAGTGAACCTTTATGAACTTTTCGATGTCAGTCTTGTGGATAATCGGTTCTACTCCCTCTCTCTCTCTCTCTCTCTCTATCTCTCCCTCCCCTCTCCCTCTCTCTCTCTTTTCCTCTATCCCTGTACTAGCTATCCGAAATATTGGAATGTGTCCCGCATCTATTCGCTGCTGAATATGCATTTTGATGCAAAAGGTCCCACCCCTATCTCTATTCTATATCTCCCTTAGTCCCTCCTTCTCTCATCTCTCTCTCTCTCTCTTTCTTTCTCTCTGTTTGTATCTGTCCCCTTTCTGCCACTCTCTTCATCCCCCAACTTCCACTTTCTAATCATAATTGTTGGTACCTCTCTATTAATTGTTAATTCATGAAAAATGTGTTAGTGGGCTTCAAAACAAGTTGACTGAAATCTCGTACGTTACAGTAGACTCAAATCAAACCACGATTCAATTCAATTCATTTTATTTCACGCATTCATGGAAGAAAGGTTCAACTGAATGTACAAAGAGTAAAATAATTAAAGGGTAGAACAAAAATAATGATAAACAATTGAAAACCGGTTGTAGTGACGAGTGCGAAACTACAAGGCTACTCAATAAGGGGAGAATGTCGGAGTTGGTCCAGGTGTCTTCCTTCCTCGCCCTTATCCCCCTCTCGATCACTCTCCCTTTCATTCTTTTCTTTTCACTACTCGATAGGGGCGGCATGCATTTAGTTACGCCATTACGGAAATGTTTTACGAATTATCAGGCTATACGCCATATAAATAGCCTGTTTCCTTCTTGGAATTTATTTTGATAATGAAATGGAGTTTCAATGATTCTGGAGTGGCTATAACTAAACAATAGGCTTATAGATTAGACCGGAGTTTATGTTAGACTTGGACACAGATTCATTGGAAGCAAGAGAACGATTATTGATTGAGATCTCTAAAGTCAATTAGGAACTATATAAACACACATAAACCCAAGCAATGTTTATATAATATAACAACTACAATAATATGATCGTGCTTGTTCCAGTTTTCTTTGCATCATCAGAAGCAAGTATTATTGTAGTTGCATATTTAAGACGAACGGTTTAAATGGTACACACAGCACATGTGAGCTCATAGCCGTTCACATATGGGCCACACTGTATCCCTCCTGCAGAGCACCGAGCTTCTACCATGTAGAAAAGGGCCCCATGCTGATTGCCAGTCGTTCCAGGAACTCCCATGGCATCTTCGTCCATGCAGACGAAATCGGTCCTGGTCGTTTGCGTGTATAAACTCGACATGAGGTACCCCTTGTATTCCAGACGCCATTTTGAAGATGGGCATTCGTTACGACCGGGAATCATGAGCTTCGTGAGGCGGGTTGGTGGGGCACGGCAGACGGCACAGGCTGGTGTTTGGTCGTGGAGGCTCTGCAGGGCTGGAGCCGTGCTTGTTTCGAATTCAGCAGCGTAAAGCAGGGATCTAGTCGCGTGGGTGGATGTCTCAATGTCACTGTAGATGGGCTCGTGGGGGAGACAAAGATAATTGACACCACCGCCGGTGTGAGAGTAGTAGGCACCCGTAGCCATACCTGTGTTTTAATCAAACAAATTTAATGTAAAGTACGTGACATAAAAGGATCAGAGCGATCCTAGAATAGTCTTGAGTAAAAAATAAATTTCTTGTAAGTGTTCATTCACTCAAAAAAACATGAACTATTGTGGACGTTTGCATGGCCACTTTACCGTTGGTCTCTGGAACATTCGCTTCATTAACCCTCGGTCCATGAATCTATATGGATGTGAGATCCTTCCTAAAGTAACTTTTGGTCTCATGACACCTCGGTCCATGACAAACTCATCTTGAAAACCTGAACTTTTGGTCTCGGTTATCTTCGCAACTTAATGCCTTTGAATTTGGGAACCTTTGTGACTTGATCTGTTGGTCTCGAAGGAACCTTTGGAACGTGAACCATTGGTCTCAAGAGCCTCCGCCCGACGGGGGACAGAGGCTCTGGGAAACGTGCCCCTCTTTATTTATGCCTTTTAATGATGTGATACATGTATGCAGACCTACCTGTATAGACCAGTTCGGATCCATTGACACAGTCGTCTCTTCCCCAGTGCGTATAGACCGCGCCCCCTATAAGAAAATAATGACATGAAGATAAAGGCTTTTTCGCATTCAATTTTAATAAAGAGAAAAATTGAATCTATTAGCAAACCCCAATGTGCCGCCTCTATTTCATTATCCCATTTCTTCTCTATAATTGGCCTATTAGGTGTAGTTACAGATAACTTATTATATTTAGAACATATTATGGGTAACATTTTGGCAGAAGATGAAACGAATTTTTAAAACCGAATCGTTTAGCCTTTCCTCTTTCTTAGCTAGGTCGCTCGGAATGTTTAGGTGAAGGAAATGAAGAAAGATGGTCATTGATAACCCATACCCCGTCTAAATTACGTATCCAGTTTAGAATTGCTGTTGCTATATGCCCGACAAGTAATGCCGATGGGGTGGTGCGGCTTAACCATTAAAAATACAATATTCCTGTATCCTTCGAAGAAAGAACGAACGAAAGAAAGAAAATAAGGAAAGAAAGAAAACGACCGTCTCACCATATGGTGGGTTCGTATAATAGGTGAGGAGAGTACTGATCAGGTCATCGGACGAAGCTACAGAACTGTTGGTCAAGGAGAGGGCGCTTTGTCTGTTTCGGAGCAAATATTTCGCAACAAAATCACGTACGTCTTGAGCATGCTGTTGCCTCCCAGTTTCGGATCCATCCTCGGTCGTAATGATGTGGTTCTGTGAAAGATTGAAGTACAACGAAAGTTACGATATTGATACAAAATATTTCAGATGCCTCTAAAAGGCAGGGTTTGATGAAGGGGCAACAAAAGTTGCTTCTAGTCGCTTTAAATTAGGGGGACTTTTTATGGTGAAGGAAAAGGGACAATTATCCAAAAGTAAAGGAGCATGTGTCAGTCTAGAAAAGGGGCAATTATGAACGGTGAAATTGGGGCACTTCTCGCACCTGAAAATGGGCACTCGTCAAAGATGTAAAAAGGCACTTATTAGAATGGAAAAGGGGAAGATATATTTAACATTTATCTAGTATTTATAGGAAATTTGTTATTAAGTGACAGTCACTTCAATCTGTATTTGTATGAAGACAAAATTGAGAGAAATGCAATGTAATAAAGTGAATCAAACATATGTAACTTTATGACTGTTTCCTTGTTATATTGACATTTTACGGAAAACTAAATAAACAAAATAGTAGATTAAGGAAATATTTTTCCCCCAAAAGCTGAATAAAGGCATTTGGAATAACTATCAAAATAATTACAATAGATGAGACTGACGAAATATTTACCTGAAGCAATGCGACAATATCCTTCAAATCAGCCAACTCCTTGCGAAAATCCTTCACCAAATCCTCTAAATTATGAATTCAAAATTAAAAAATAATCATTTAAACGTGAGGACTATAAACAGTGCGTCCCAGAAAAAAAAGAAATCGAGAATTATCGTTGTTTTATCATAACTTAATCACAACTAGAATTAATAAATGACACATATTTGGAAAGCTGAGATCCTCCTCTTTCATTTGATGCAACTCACATAATGTATATTTTACGCATGAGTGATAAAACTGAATTTGAAGAGAGGTAATCAAAAAGTCATTTGGCGGACGGTATCTGAATTTCAAAAAGAAAATCACATTTCTAGAAAGTTGAGTTTCTGCCCTTTCATATGACACCTCAATCACGAAAAATGAGTTAGGAATAACAAAGCTCTGTATGATTAAAGTAGTGCTTGCATTTCCATAATTTTATCAAACGAGATCGCGGCAAGCGAGGGGAGAAACATAGAGGGATAATGAGAGAGAGAGAGGGGGAGGCACAAATATATATTTAACGATAAATTAATAATGAGACCAGGCAAGAAATAGCATCATTATTATCAATGAGGCAACAAATTACTGACGCTCGAATAATTACCTGGAGCAATTGTTGTAGATGCCAGGGTAGATGGTGATACAACCGAGAACAGAAGTGGAGAAAAAAGGCAGATAAGCAAGTGTAATGCTGCCATGATGTCTAAACATGAATGCAAGACCGTCAGAAAATAACCAGCTTCTGGCCTGCTGTTGGGTCTAATGATAAGTTTGTGAAGATCGTCGTATCACTGCGTTCCACTTCTCTGCGAATATTCAAATCGAAATGGAATGACTTGATCCCTCGGTAGTGCGATTTGTATCAATATAACTTCTTCCTATCCCCTCCCCCCCCCCCCCATTAACACCACCACCACCACCACGTCCGGAACAATGGTGGAGGTGCGGATTGGAGTGCATGACGTCAGCAGTGACGGGATCCAATAGAAATACAGCATAGTTGAACATGCGCAGTGCCATTCGCATGGAGTTTGGGCAAATATGGAGGTGTGTGGCAGATATGTGATTGAGTGACGAGGGGAAAATGCTCCAACCCTCCCGTTCAAACAGAAACAAAAAGAAAGATAGAGACGGGGAAAGGGGAAACGGAACATTATTTTTTTTTAAATCCCCCTTCTCACTCCCCCCCCCCCCCTCTCTCTCTCTCTCTCTCTCTCTCTCTCCCCCTCTCTCTCTCTCGCTCTCTCTCTCTCTCTCTTCCCCTTTCTCTGTGTTACTCTCTGGCCTTCGACTCATTTTATTCTTTTAACAAACAATAAATATCAAGGATATATATTATATAAATACAGTTAACAAAACTTTCAGAGTACATGTGTGAAATTGCATTCATCAGAAAACAGAAATGGCCCCAAAAATTACATACGACCATGGGCCTCTTCTGGAGTATAATACACTGTTGCACACAAAGCTGGGACTATTCTCCTCTCTCCTTTTATCCCTCTTTTTTGTTCCTTTTTCTTTTCTTCTTTACCAACCCTACCCCCATGAGATGACCCCGACAATACGACCCGATTCCGACGGATACAGTTGAAATTATCCTGAAGCTTCATTAATCAATACAGCTTGATCGATAAAACCCCGGGAATCATTGCCAAGAAGTGTATCTAGATAATCCTACTTTGATATGTAGAGTATTACTTCAGTAGGGGAAGGGTGCATTTGCCTCTTTGCCCCCTACATATACACAGGACAGTGAATGCCTTAGATTGGCTGTCATAAATTAACGAGTATAATAAGAACGTCGGGTGTATCGCTTCCTACGGTTTCTTGTTATTCAATTATTGACAGGAAACATGGATACTGGTTTGTTTATTTAGGAGCAGCAAGTAAAGGTTATGGTATTCCCCTTTTTTATTTCCCTTTTTAAGGCGGCAGAGTAGTTTTGTGAAAGGGGGAGTGGTTATAGGGGAGACCGATTCTGGTTGTCAAGGCCCGTTCAGATATGGCGTGGTAAACCACCTCAAATAAAGCTGCCACGGGTTTTTTAACGTTTTAATGAACGTCAATCGCCAGCAACTAAGGTGCTGCGCGTATTCACTGAGCTCTGTGTTATATGAGCATATTACACTTAACGTCATCGTTTTTGTTTTGTTTTGTTTTTTGTTTTAAATAATTTCAAAAACGGAGTGGTTTTGCCACGTCACATCTGAATGAGGATTATCACGGGTAAGTTGTTACAGAAGCAATTTCTCTATAACTGCGCGAGAGAGGGAGCTATTGGCTATACCAGATCAGAGCCATCTATACACAGAGTTTGGCCAACCCGGTTTCGAGTCGGACACAATTTGGCGACTACTGCTTTAATGGACAAGCACAAAAATACAGAATATACGCCGTGAAACCAAGTTGGCCAAACTCTGTGTATAGATGCCTCTATACTTGCCAAATAAAAACGTGCAGTTTAACGATGGTGGCGCACCCGGGAATGGGGGTTGGTCACATGAACACCTTTTCACCTATCGTCGACTTTTCCTTCTTCTTCTTCTTCTTCTTCTTCTTCTTCTTTTTCTTCTTTTTCTTCTTCTCTCCTATCATTAATCTTCAGAGGGCTGTGCAGCCTTTCACGAAGATATCTGTAGAAAGATTACCAGTTGTGTATGCAGGCACACTAAACACCGAGTTGACACCCCACTCTTTGCGAGAAGTAAAGTGTATTAACGTGCAAATAGGCCTAGGGTGTGCCTCTCCTAAACGCGGTGCCTCCAGTTAACGTTCTAGTCCGAGGTACAGTAGGGACTTTTAGATTTGCACAACGACAACGGGGATTGCTGCGATCGACGTCCTTTCAATGGACGTCACACGTATCAGTCCACGCAAATCTAAAAGTCCCTAATGTGTCTTCCCCCGAACCCGAGCCCTCATCGAGAGCAGAGGGGAGTCTGATTCAATTTGTGATCAGTTCGATAATTACATATTGTACCAAAAGAGTTTCTAACCTTTGTGTATTCACCTAGTATCTAGTTAAGATAGCAGTATGATGGCTAGATTTTAAGTGCTTTTCATTTAATTTAATTTATTTAAATTAAAATTAAAATTAAAGATAAACTCAAGTTCTGGTAAAAAAAAAAAAATTCTCACAGAATCAAACGAAACTTACACTGAATGTTCAAGATTACAAATAAATGACATGTGCCAAACAATTTTGGAAGAAAATGTAAACTGGTTGAGTATTGAGCATAGAAAGACAAGGAAATCAAGGTAGTACTAGCCCCGACACCATGTGCGTTGTCCCATATATAGCTTTCTGTGTACAGTGCTTGTTACTTTACCAAGACTCGGCCAAATTTATTATGATTTTGATGACTCCAGAACCTTGCAGTGCACACCAATACTTACATGCTACATGATCAACTGTTTCTGATCCATTCCACACCTTTTCTTTCACAATGCAATCGCATTACCAGAACTCAAGTTTATCTTTAAATCGGATTTCAGTGATGCAACATAGGCTATACAAAATATAACTATATTTGTTTAACGTGCACACATATAAATGATAAAAGAAATGCTGACATTAAGACAACATTTTGTGTTATAATTTCACGTTTTGTTTTTTATTCAGAACCACGCAGTTACGCTATGCGCTGACAAAGTCACTTCGTTCAGTTTCGTTTGTGAATTATTCTTAACTTTTTTCTGATCCATCTTGACAAGAGTGCTGTATTATAAAACTAGATGGAATTTTGACTGCGCGCAGTCGAAAACGATGCCTCCGCCATAGAGCAATTTAAACAAGTTTGGAGATATCATGATAACAATCTCAATGTATGGAATTTCATAAGTTGACCTCTGTGACCCTTGACCTTTGACCTACGTGCTCCAAAATCTAATCAGATTGTCTTCCTATGGTGATACACACTATCATTAAGTTTGAAGTTTAAATCTCCAGTGGTTCTTGAGATATTATGATATGGTGATACATACTATCATTAAGTTTGAAGTGAAAATTCTCCAGTGGTTCTTGAGATATCGCGATAACGATCTCAATGTATGGAATTTCATAAGTTGACCTCTGTGACCCTTGACCTTTGACCTACGTGCTCCAAAATCTAATCAGATTGTCTTCCTATGGTGATACACACTATCATTAAGTTTGAAGTTTAAATCTCCATTGGTTCTTGAGATATTATGATAACAATCTCAATGTATGGAATTTCATAAGTTGACCTCTGTGACCCTTGACCTTTGACTTACGTGCTCCAAAATCTAATCAGATCGTCTTCGTATGGTGATACATACTATCCTTAAGTTTGAAGTTTTTACATCTCCAGTGGTTCTTGAGATATCATGATAACAATCTCAATGTATGGAATTTCATAAGTTGACCTCTATGACCCTTGACCTTTGACCTACGTGCTCCAAAATGTAATCAGATTGTTTTCCTATAGTGATACACACTATCACTAAGTTTGAAGTTTAAATCTCCAGTGGTTCTTGAGATATCATGATAACAATCTCAATGTATGGAATTTCATAAGTTGACCTCTATGACCCTTGACCTTTGACCTACGTGCTCCAAAATGTAATCAGATTGTTTTCCTATAGTGATACACACTATCACTAAGTTTGAAGTTTAAATCTCCAGTGGTTCTTGAGATATCATGATAACAATCTCAATGTATGGAATTTCATAAGTTGACCTCTGTGACCCTTGACCTTTGACATACGTGCTCCAAAATCTAATCAGATCGTCTTCCTATAGTGATACATACTATCCTTAAGTTTGAAGTTTAAATCTCAAATGGTTCTTGAGATATCGCGCTAACAAACTCAATACAAGGAATTTCATAAGTTGACCTCTGTGACCTGTGACCTTTGACCTACGTACTCCAAAATCTAATCAGATCGTCTTCCTATGGTGATAAATACTATTCCCGAGTCTTAAGTTTAAATCTTAAATGGTTCTTGAGATATTGTGATAACGGTCAAACGGGACGGACGTACGGACGGACGTACGGACGGACAACCCGAAAACATGATGCCTCCGGCACCACCTTCGGTGGCGGAGGCATAAAAATATCACTATAAAGTAAACATTATTTGTGTCAAACAAAACACGCTTTCACTTCAAATCCATGCATATTTGTATATATGTACAAAACACTAAAAGAGCATTCACCTTTTTTTTTTTTTAAAGAATCTGTTCAATAGATCACTCATGAAATCTATTTCCAAACATTTGATTAAACACGATCGCTAAGCCTTTCGGAAAAAACAAACCTCAGACAATTCCAATAGCCTTCACTGCAATGTTTGTGAACTGTACAATGTCACTTAAAAAGAATATTATTTCCAAATGCGATACAACGTATTTTATTCCAAGTAACCAAGCGGTCCCTTCTTCGTTGAGGAAAATAATGAGAAGGGTGCATACTCATACACTCTAGATCCACTACGAATAAAAAAAACTAATATCATTAAACACACCAACAAAAAATTAACTCCCTAATTCTTTTGCTTGCTATTCATTGAATATGTATTTCAATCGTTCAATATATATTTCAGTATTATTTAACAAATTGTTGTAAATATGGTTTTGATTTCTACCCTGGGCTCTCCAAGATAACAATGCTACAATTGAAGAGGTGACCCTGATTAATTAAAACTGAAAATCAATCAATCAATCAATCTATATATCAATATATCATTCAATGCACAGTGAATCCTAGCTTGTTTAAATATCTGCTATCATATACCTTCTATGAATATTAATGATATTCTAAATACATGATTGGTCAATGAGTGCTCACATCATAAAATAAATAGCACTAGGAAAACAAATCGGCGC